ACCGAATTCCAGCACTTTACTACTAGATCCGCTCGATCCATAGTAGATCATACTGATAGAACGTCGATCATACATATGATCCTCGGTCGGAATGTCTACCTGGCATCTAAAAGGTCAATGATAATGCCAGCTAAAGAAAATTCTATTAAATAAATAAACACAACACATATTGCTTTATTCTACATTCATCCCAAATTCAAAGTTTTGTTAAACTACTCCTATACCTCATTTAATTGGCAATTTTTAGAAGGTAAATGTTAAAGCAACTGGAAAGCTTCGTTGTTCACAGGCAAAACAAAGCATTAGAGCATCTTATGTCAACTCAGAGATGAATAATTGAGGAGGCTGGCCCCCTGAGGATGAGGGTGTATTAATCATTCAGCTCCGAGGTGTAGGAGCGAGACATTCCTTATATGTACAACTGCTTCACATCCCTCACAACAATAAGTGTGTTTAACTTTAAATGTATTCCCATAGGTTAGGTGATTTTCAATGTTCTTGAAGAGAAATTTTGAATCGGATTTGTATTGCTAAATCTGTAGGGTTTAGTCATGAGACTAGAATGTATAATAGAGCGAACTATTAGGACTTAGAATACGAGGAGGGGTAAAGTAATAATGCAGGTACTGAATAGTAATACAAAGTAATTCAACAATTTAGCTTTCTGGATGTAATTTAAGTTTGTATTAAGATGAGTGGCACAAAGGCAACGACCTAAATGGAAACAAACAGCTGCTAAAGAAAATTAATTGAGGCTAGATTAGATCTATGGTAAATTGCGGTTAAAACCCCCCAAAAAAACCATTAAGGTAGTAGTATTAGAGTTAGGAAAATGTGCACTGGCTAATAATATTTTAAACTTTCTTAGTTTTTTTAAATTAATTTTAGAAATCTATTCATTTTAGGAATTTAAAATTCTTAAATTCTTAAGATAAATATATTGATTTATATTAAAATAGTAAAATCTTGTGGCCATCTAAAATTTAAATGTTTCACAACAACAAAAAAGTCTTCCATAAGGTTAGCCTAACGATTCTTTATCAAATTGACATCATGTACACATTAGTTGTTGCATTTGTTTTTATTGCCTTTGAAAGTCATTTTTAAGGAAATTCATCACAATAAAACATTAGAATATGATTTTCAATATCACAAGCGTATGAACTATTATATCAGAATTTGATATAACTCTACATCTACAATGCAACGCTTAATTGGAAATGTATATCTCTTATTCAATGTCAAGTTTAATACCGTGTAATTCAACTGGAAGGGATATTAATCTAAGTCTTAATCCGTCAGCTCGGTTTAGTTGATGCCTTTTAATATTTTATGATGCTGTCTACCAATCTGTTCTCTTAATATGCATTAAAATTGAAGATATTGTAGTGAATTTTCTATATGAGGAATACGAGTTTTAACTTGGTGTTATCAATTTAATATTTTTCTAAATATTTTTCAGGTCATATTAACAGGTACTGTTTTATACAGGGTGAGTTTTAAATGAGTTCCCCCCCCTACAGTTTTCTACATTTCTTAAGATATCGACTGCGGACCAAGTCAGATCATTGTAGAGTAGTAAGTATTTCATTTTGACTGGGCATGCCTTTTTTAGCCGCCATCTTGGATCTGCCATATTGGATACAATTTTTTTTCAAATGTAAAGGTAGAGTTGTAACCCATCATTTCATACTAAAATTTTACGCTGATTACAATGCCACAATTAGTTTTTAAAAGTCTTGATTTATTCTAAAGTTATGAGAACTTTATAAATTAATTTTTAGCCCATTTTAACATTGTGCATTTACAAACTAGGACCATGATCTCAAAACAGTGCCAGATAAAGATAAGTATGCACCAAAATTCATTGTCGACCTATTTTCACTTGGTTATGACGGATGTGTTTTTTCTGCCGCCATCTTAGATAGGCAATTTCGAAATTTGATAAGTTATTTTAAATATGGAGGTGGTGTTGTGACGCGTCATTTTAATCTACTTTTTTATGCTGAACTCAATGCTGCAATCCATTTTTCATTTTCATACTTGGTTATTGAAATATTGACATTTTAAAAAATATTTCATCAAGAAAGCTTGATAGCAAAAAACTGATTGCGGAAGTGAGTTCAGCATAAAAAAGTATTTCAAAATTATGGGTCACAACACCACCTTCATATAAAAAAATAATTTATCACATTTAAAAATGGCGGATCCAATATAGCAGCCGAATACTTATACCCAGTAAAAAGAAGTACTTACTACTCTACAATGATCTTGGTTATACAAGGATCTTGGTACAGTGATCGTGGTCCGGAGTTGATATCTTAAGAAATGTAGAAAAAAGTAGGGGGGAAACTCATTTAATACTCGCCCTGTATATTTAAAACATTGCTTAGCGAACAACTGATTTGGTTTCTTTTCAGTCAATGCTTCAAGCTTCTTGTGATAATTTTTAATTATTGTAGAAATTATTTTGGAGGACCTAACCAGCGATACGAAGAATAAACACAGTTTTTTATATTAGGGACTTTTTAAAATATAATTTTAAGGCTCATTTGTTGATCAAGCATTATTTATACATTTAGTTTCATTTGTCAATAACATACATGGTATCTTAATTTTGCTTTAGAATATTCTTTTACCTGAAACTTGTATTCATCGTTTCAATCCAAAAAACCTATTATCCACTCAAAATTGTTAAAAACAAATTATACACTTACACGAATTGCAAATACTTTTAGTGAACACTATAATTTATTATAGCTATAACCTAGTGTTAGTGTTTAGTATAGCTGGAACATTAAAGTTTTATGTAACTTACTATTTTTTAAGTTCAGTAACATGAAAAATAGTTAGCAATAAAGTTACAATTTATTAGATTGCGGTGGAGGAGGAAAGCCCTGCTGGGAATCAGATGACCAACCATAAGTCAAGCATCTCTGTTAGATTCTTTTCTCGTTCCTAGTGCAAAGTAATACAGTATGTCGGATCCTGAAGAGAAAAGATTAAATAAAGATAGAGTTTATTATTCATTTCATGTAATAAATTTAATTTTAATTTGTAAAAGTAAGGAATTTTCGTAATGAAATAGTTTATCATGAAATGTGTTCTACAAAACGTAGTTAAGAACCTTAAAATCGCAGCTGACTACATATATATATATATATATCTTACGTATATCAATTACAAGGTTCAAGGTAAATTTTGCAAAACTATTTTGGACACAATTTTTGTCGATGAATGTACATATATTGCAGTGTACAATTTTAGTGATTTTTAACAAGGGAGTTTGTTTTCAAAACAACTAATCTTAGATGATGGCTTGTTTAAATAATCTCGTTCGGACAGTTTTCACTTTCCCTTCGAAACACGTTGATCCAGTCACTTAGTTATATAGGATACTTTGATTTAATTCTTTTTGTAAATTGACATTTCCTAACATTAGTTTTCCTGTTTAATGAATAAAAATATGTCATCTTTCATACATTTTTGAATATTTTCCTAATGGTATTCCTAGTAAACGTTGTAGTCTAAAACATAGTTTTCGATAGACAATAAAAGATCTTATTTCACCCTATAGTCAAATATTATAACATTTCTTTTATATATAACTTTTTATGATAACCCTTTGAACAATGTACAATTACAATATACCTTTAAGCAAATTCACGTACAATAAAACATAATGTAATTGAAAAATATTATAACACGATATAATATTATAAGACTATAGTAGTATGAACTTACTTCACAAATAAGATTGTAAACAATTTATAGTAATGCATCTGAATTAATCTGTGATATCCAAATATATACACTGTTCTTTGAAATCACATCGTTACCAAAGTAAAATGAGATACCGCTCCACACTGTTTTGTTAGGTCCACTGTCTCCGTCGTGTTAAAATAAATATTTGGTTTCCATTATTTTATAATTAGTTTCTCTTGAAGTCTGTTATGTTGAACAAAGTTTTGAATATGATGGAACTCGTTTTTTAGGAAAGTCAACAGACTATGAAGAGGTTTTAAAATGTGTTTGTTCTACCTCAATGGTAATTGTCTAGTTATTTTTCATGAGACTTGTTGAATATTAAAAATCGTGTTCCTTCAAATTATATACTATATATATTGTACTTCAAGGAACGGAATAAAAATATTAATAATGCAAGTGATATTAAAAAATCTAATGTTTAAACAGTTTTTGAATCCAATTAAAATATTTTTAAAAGAGTACACGACATCAATTGGTAAACAATGCAAGGAGAAGGAAGTGCTAGCCAATCATATTTAGTGATTTGATTAGGCAAATGGGCGCTGGTTTAGTTAATATTATCACTTACCAGTTACTTTCATCAACGTGAATTTTAATAATAATAAAAACTCAATAAAAGGTTCAAGTGCTTTTGTAAACGTCTACTTTAAACTCAATTAATTATTTCATGATATTTTTATGGACAACAAATTTATATTAATTTTTAATATTTTAATAGTAAACATAATATCAACCAATACAATGATTAACATTTATAACTGGAAAAATAACTGGCCGATTGAAAATACCAGGTTTTTTAAAACTGAGCTTTTGATATTAATAGAAGGCTAAGTATCCTGAAGACCTGAGTTCAGGATTTCAGATATCCTGCTGTGACCCAGTGGTTCTTAGCCCACTTTCAGCTGCTAGTTTCTCTTATCTAGAAAAAATATATTTTTCTCATGGGAGGAGAACATTATTTTCATTTGAAGGAAAAGTAAATGAGGATCTCCGTCCACTAAAAGGCAAACTACATTTTAATTTCGGGTAGTTGTGACTATATACATATGCCTTTTGATTATTCTGTAGTGAGTACATCTTCTGCCAATAATAATACCATGAGAGTACTTTAAATTTGACCATAGGTCAAACAAATTTCGACTAAACAAAACTATCCAATAGCTTGACTACATATAAAGTAAACGATATCTCAGTTTAAAATTAAAACTGATAAGTTATGTTGTGTGTTTCAGTGTCTGACTTCACACAAGAGCTGTCGCAGATGTATGAACAACACGCGGAGGAACTGCAGCTATTGGTCGCTAACTTTAGGAAGAAAAACGCAGAACTTAGGAAAGAACGGTGAGTAGAGGTGACAAGTATCAGGATTGTAATTACCCTAAAACTGCCAAAACCAAGGATAGGAGATTAAACACACTAAAAATTAAGGTTAAATTGCATATGATTATTGCAGCCTGGAAATTTCGGTTAACTTTATTTCTTTATTTTTGTTTATTTCTTTTAAATGTATTTTCACTGTAAGTAGTTTTGCCAATGGTAAATAAAAAATATAAAAACAATTGTGTCAGTACTGTATTAATCATTCTGAAAAATAAAGGTTTACTCGTACTAAATTATTTAACATACCGCAAATTTAATTTGACTTGCTTTAGGATATAAAAAAACTGAAAATTAATGTTATCTTGTATCAGGATATTAACAATCTGACATGAAGGTTAACTTGTATCAGGATACTAACACCCAGAAAATGGAGAATAACTCGTATCAGGATACTAACATCCAGAAAATGAAATTTACCTCATATTAGGATATTTAACACCCTGGAAATGAAGGTTTGACTTGCATCAGTATATTAACCCCTCTGAACATGTTGGTTATCTTTCATTGGGATTTTAAGCACATTCAAATGATGTTTTGACTTGTGTCAGGATTATTAAACACTTAAGAAGTCTTGGTAACCTAAATGCAAACACACAAATCGTTCATCTGAGGATATTAGTTTGGTGCTATCTAAAATGTTAAGAAATATATTTACTATTGTATTGATATGTGAATGATTTTACGTTATGATAGGTTCGTGAACTACAATCATGCTACAATTTAATCCCAGGGTGATAGTGCAGATATACAGGGTGAGTTTTAAATAAGTTCCCCCCCCCTACTTTTTTCTACATTTCTTAAGATATCACCTCCGGACCACGTCAGATAATTGTAGAGTAGTAGGTACTTCATTTTGACTGGGTATAAAATTTTGGCCGCCATCTTGGATCTGCCATATTGGATACAAAGTTTTTTTTTCAAATGTAAAGGTAGGATTGTGACCCATCGTTTCAAACTAGATTTTTACGCTGAATATGATGCTGCAATCTGTTTTTAAAAATCTTGATCCATTCTAAAGTTATGAAAACATTTTATAACTCATTTTTAGCCCATTTTAACATTGTGCAGTTACAAACTCAGACTATAATCGTAAAATAGAGCTAGATAAAGATAAGTATACACCACCAGTCATTGTCAACCTATTTTCACTTGGTTATGATCACTTGGATACGATTATGGTCTTAGTTTGTAACTGCACAATGTTAAAATTGGCTAAAAATAAAGTTTTAAACAGTACTCATAACTTTAGAACGGATCAAGATTTTTAAAAACGGATTGCAGCATCGTATTTAGCGTAAAAATCTAGTTTGAAACGATGGGTCACAACCTTACCTTTGCTTTTGAAAAAAAAAAACTTTGTATCCAATATGGCGGATCCAAGATGGCGGCCAAAAATTTATTCCCAGTCAAAATGAAGTACTTACTACTCTACAATGATCTGATGTGGTCCGGAGTTGATATCTTAAGAAATGTAGAAAAAAGTAGGGGGGGAACTCATTTAAAACTCACCCAGTATATCACAGAGCACAATAAAATCTAGTGATACTTTAGGCTGCAGGTTGGTTAGTCATCTACATAAAAACACCAATATCCTTGTGACGGGCACATGCTTTGTCAGGTCGAATACCTTTATCTGTGAAGGCGAGCGCTATTTACTCGTAAAACTACATATTTTTTCTACATTTCCAATTTTTTTATTAATCTTATTCTTTTATTAATTTTCCTTGGCAGTCCGGCTTGTCCCAGTTCATTATTTCACACCTGGGAGACCCTGCTACAAGAGGTGGAGGTAGACTCCCAGGCTCACAGCGACATCGCCTCAGTGTTCGGCCGTCAGGTGTCTCGACCCCTCCTAGAGCGATCCTTCCACCGCAAGGTCCAGGCGAGGAAGGTCTTCGCCCACCGGGAGTCATTTGAGCTTGTAGTCAACAAAGCTGAAGAGAAACTAGCCAAGGTAAACTTATCATGATCAGTTAAGATACCGGCAAGTTTTGTTGTGACTCTATTGATATGGTCAAGTATATTGTATACATTTACAGTTTAAGTTTTGATGCATCAAAAAGTGTCATGTGTGTGTGTACATCAAAGGCGCATTTTTTAATATTCATGATATTAAAATATTTATTCAGCCGTAAAATGTACAAGTACCATTGGTCGTTAATAAAATGGTAAAAAACTGATGTGAGAGCTGCTGGTTTGTTGGTGCAATCCAGTTATGGGTTTAGAGTACTGTTTATAGACATTCTTTCAAAATGATCCGGTTCAAATGTTACGCCAATAACAACCATCAATGAATATTATTTTGTCAGTAAAATTGTAGCTAATTAAAACTTTAAAATAAAAATTAAGGTCTCAAAATGATGAGTAAGTTCATCCTACCAAAGGACTCATTCTATGCTTTCCAATTTGAATAGGAGGGATTGAATTGTCTAATGATATTGTCTTTGCTTGTAAGTGTGGGAAAATGTATAAATAAGTCATGTAAATCTGTATACAAATTAAGTCGTTTGATTTTTAATATATTTGACCTTAACTCATTAAATAGTCAAAATTAATACTGTAATATTTATAAAAATTGGCAAATTTATTTATTTTATATTATGCTAGTAACATATTACTTAATGTTAACATAATAACACATTTTATTTAATACACATTGTAGCAGCAAACCTAAATGTTTGTGAAACCTAATACTATTTAAATAGGGAATAAATATTCAGGAGATATTTTAGTAGAAATCCAATCAAGCTCATAGAATTTTGCTTAGTCTGCAGGCTTGCTGTGGCGGATGTATTATAGTGTTAATTTGAAAGTATAATTGTTAGAAATGGCAAATCTACATTAAATATTGGATTAACATTTAACCTTACTAACAACGTGTTGGTAATGGGCGATAATATATTCTCTTCTTACGAGAAAAATATTTTAGAATAACTGTTTTATTGAAGAACACCTCATTTACACCTAACAATACTGTAAAATGCAAAACCCAATGTCACTAAAAACACCTATGTTCATTGTAACGACATCTAACACTTAGGTAATACCTTGTTTTGTTGCTTTACTGATACTTCAGTTTATTCTGAGAGGATTAGTTTTCAATTATGTTGAATCGTTGAACATCGTCAAGTTGATAACTTTTGCAACAAACTTCTCAAGTTATAAAGTCAAAGCTACATCCTGTTCTACTTAAGACTTTGGCGGGAATATTATCTGGATTAACAGTGGAAAAAGGTGACTTTGAATAGCCCTCGAATGGGTTAATACTTAAAAATTTTTTTCTACTGTAATATTATATTTTTTTATTTATTGAAAACCTTCAAAAGTGTAAATATGATAAATGTTATTCATAATTTAAGAAACTATTAATTGGGTTATTGAAATTTACATAGAAAAATAACGCAAAATTGTAATCCTATGTATACGATTTTACCAAATATTGGAGTTTTGTCCAGAGAAATACGGTTCTATTGTGTTCAACCACAACATCCCTACCTTGTCCACAACGACTCAACCTTAACCATAACTACCATAACCATTCAAAACCACGCTCAATCCACATCCACCATTCCTTGCTATTTCACATTGTAAATATGTACGGTTTAATTTCTCGGTATATTTAAGTTTTTATGTTTAATTTTCAATGCTGTATTGTTGATTTTTTTTTAAGTGTTACAATATTAATTGCGTGGATAATAGTTGAAACGTATTCTCGCTGTAAACATTTAAAATATTATTTACATAAATCTCATGCCTATACCTTAACTACTAAATTTTGAGGTTTGAAAAACAGAGATTTGTACTTATTTCACCTATGTCTTCATGTCAGTGCTAAATAAAAGTAGTAAATCTTCAAATTCATTTTTATATATATTATTCATTATCGGATTGCCACTTGTAAGTTTTAAGCTGTTTAAGGTTCTTTAAACCTAGTGTTTTAGGGTAAAACATGAGATCAACTGTTAATTTGGCTTACTGAACTTAAATTATAAAGTAAAATTATAAACTGTTTTCATATACTATATAGCTATTTTTTACTTCTTCAATAAATAATAACAAAATGGTAAGTACCTTTAGAAAGCAAAATAAGAAAAAATTTAAAATGTATTATGGTAGTATTACTAAGATATTCTTGGAGATGTAAACAGTATTACACACCTTTGTGCCAATGATTAAGAGCATAACAAATATTTCTCCTAGTTTTTTCATAATACGTTTTAACTGCATTCTACTTCGATTGATTGTGGAATTATTAGGATAAATAAGAATTTCCCCAATAATAAATCCAAACGCATTTATTTTGTTTTGAACTTTTAAGAAATGTCTGTATATATTGAAAATAAATTGATTAAATATTTAAAGTACTACATCTATCATACAAATCTTACCAAAAATGGTCTTCAACTCCAATTGTTTATCATTCTTAATTTTACAGAAAATTAGAATACAATCCTTTATTAATTTATAGTTATAATTGGCTCATTTGACTGAGGTAAAAATGGTTTGAATCGTTGAAAACGAGTAACCATAAACGGATCCTTGTAGCAACAAGCAACAGTTTGCAGGAAGTAAACTTTCAAACACTACATAATGGATGTTTTCTAGTTAGGTAACAATAGATGCTTTTAGCGAAATTTGATGTTGCCAGTCAATTTAACGTAAAAGGAAAGCATTGGAACCGAGTCTGTTTTTCTTTATACATCCAAAATAACAAACAGACTCAATTTAAACTTCTTCTCCACTTATATTTGAACTAACTTATTTAAAACTGAATGGTTGGTTATAATTTAGGTTGGTAAAAACTGCACATCGAAAACGTGAAATTATTTTCCAACAGCGTAATTTTGACATGGCAAAAATGTCTTTGGTGATCGTGCAAGGTAAGGTTTTATTCAAAGTCAGCAATTTACCCGAACCATTTGCCCCAGTGATAGTATTATACACTATACAGGGTATTGTGCAGTTTATTTCTATAGTAAAACTATAAAAGTTTTTTCTTGTTTTTCTTTTGATAAATGTCAGAATATTTAAGCCATATGATTATGTAAAATGTTATAAATCCATAATACTGTATTAATCCCAAAGTACCCATGAACTTAAAACTTATATTCCCTAAGCTGGTTTTGTGACATTGGATCTTGACGGGGTTTAACATTGAAAGAGTTCGATCGACTGTTAAAGTTATTCGTGCGGACTCTTCTGAGAACCTCCTGTGTATAGGCACAAAACGAATTCGGTTTGAGAAATAATATTAGTAAAAAATTCGGTTCTCTTAACAGGGTAACAAAACTAATAAATAAACTTCGTTTGTAGTATAACCTTGACTCATACCCAATATATAGCAGTTAATATACATAAAAGACGAATTTTAAAGTTCAAGTTTAATCCAATACTTTTTTTACATGATTTGTCTCAATCAAGAAAATTGGTGGTATTTTAATGCAGACCAATCTTCAATTTTCAAATCTTAATTTAGTTTTGTATTATCAAAATGATCGCTTTCAATTCTGCTAATCCATGACTTTGTTGTGCATGATCTTCAAAGAGCATTGATCACGTCTTCACACGATTATAGTGTGTGGCATTTCATTTTAGTGTTGAGCTCCAACAAAATTGCAGCACGATTATTTTTTAAATTATAACTAAGAGTGTGTGATAACCCCTCAAAAGTTGCCATCAATCGTAGGCCCGAAAATTCAAAATGGCTACCAAGATGAATGCCAAAATATATATTGTATCCAAAACTTTATTTTAGAAAATATGTACGGTGGCCAATTTTGATTTGTGGGCATGTTGCCAAAACAAGATTGATGGTGATCTATTAGGAATTATTAAAGACACTTATAAAAAAACTAATATTAAAACTATCATTAGAAAAATATTCTTCTGTTGCAAAATTGTTGGAGTAAGGTCATAATTTCTCATAAAATGATTCCACTACTAGATCAAAACGTGTTGAAATAATACGTGATTGTAACAGTTGTCCTACTTTGTTGTTTTGCTCCAGGCTCGTCAGGACTACAAGGCGTCGTACCTGGGCCACATGGCGTCACCCTCCAACACCGCTACCTTGGCCGCCTATCTGGACGCGCACAATAACTACGTCATAGCAAGTGTCAGTTGTTGTATGTTGTTGTTGTGCTACAGGCTCGTCAGGACTACAAGGCTTCGTACCTGGGCCACATGGCGTCACCCTCCAACACCGCTACCTTGGCCGCCTATCTGGACGCACACAATAACTACGTCATAGCCAGTGTCAGTTGTTGTATGTTGTTGTTGTGCTACAGGCTCGTCAGGACTACAAGGCTTCGTACCTTGGCCACATGGCGTCACCCTCCAACACCGCTACCTTGGCCGCCTATCTGGACGCGCACAATAACTACGTCACACAGCTTCACGCCACCAACGGCATGGTCGACACCTACAGCCAAGAGACGCTACCATTGCTGCTGCAGGTAGGGAAAAGACTGTTACTACGTCCATTGCATTCGTACTGAATAAGAAAAAACTAACAAAAGGTGCCAAAGAAACGAAGGGGTTCCCTTATCTCCCAAAAAGTAGTGTGGTCAAAACACTTGGCGTAGGAAAAGTTCTTTAAACCAAAATTAGAATAAACCGGAATTCACTTTCCGGTTGTTTTGCTTTTCTCTATTTCTTCAGTTGCTTTAAAATTTCGTCGATCATTTCTGAAGTTTGAGAACTGTCCTTTTTTAAGGTTACAGATTATTTCTTCAGAATACTTGGGCATGAAATACCTCCAGAAGTGGTGGTTATGTGGGTTATCTTTGCTTCTTAATTCTTTCTTTTATGTCAGAGCTCTAATTTTTTGGCGTGGTAGTTGGTTGAACATTTTTATGTTTATGGTATGGACCAAGAAATTTGGTCCTTAATTAAATGAACTGGGCGATACATTTGTATCCCTCAAAACTTACTTACTCTATAAAAATATAACTTACAAGTTTCAATACACAGTAATTAAGTGTTTAAACAGTAATAAAGAAATTTAAACTGTAAAATAATACTGTACACAAATTTATATTTATGACAAAAATTACTTTCAAACCTACTTATACTACTCGTACAACAATGATGAGATCAGTTTCGTTTCAAGCTTAATTAATGACTGTTATTAAAGTAATACTTGGCTATTGGTTTACTGATACTGTACTACTGACTTACAATCGAGTTTAATGTAAGCCTTGTGTAGTTAATGAAGTATCAGGCATAGTGGGAATGTTATGTGTAAGCAAGCATGTCTTATGGTTGGTAAACATGTACTTAATTAGAAACAAGCTACCTACTGCACCACCTCACTGCGTCAAAACTCTCCTGTAATATGGAGAAGTTACATTACGCTACCTGTTTGTAAACAGATTACATGCAACCAAACCTAGGTGTTTGACATTTATGTATAGATTTGACTTATCAGCTAAAATATTTACAGCCCTACAAAAAATTAATTTTTTACTGCTTAAAATACTAATAACTGCAAAACCGAGCTGGTAAAACACTCGAACTTTTACTTGATACTAAAATTATATTTAGTTTTGAATATTTTATGAAATATTGTAAAAGGATTGTTCTAAAATTTAAACCTAAAAACATTTTCAATGTAAGTGCAACACAAAAAGTATTTCGTCAAAAGGTATATTTTAACACCGTCAACAATGTTTGGACGTAAAACTGCTCTTGGCATTTACAAAATAGTCTTTTTGAACTCGAGTCAAGTTGGTTGTTTCGAATTCAAATGAAGCAGTTACCATCTAAAAGCGGTTCTGGAGGTAAAATTGAAACAACCCACTGATAAAATGTTATCTAAAGGAAGTCAATTTCCCAGATGTCAAGCCGGTCGCTCGCAGCTCTTTGTAGTTTGAACGTGGTATTCTTTGTCAACGTAAAAAACTGAATGAGTTTGAAAGTCGTGCTTGGGGTTATACCCTTTGTCCTAATGACTAACCTCTTTACAACCGCAATATCAACATCAAATTTGAATAATGATGTTGCTTAAAACCCTTTACACGCTAACGTCACTCCTCAGGCACTATTAAGGCCCTTCCGTTCTTATAAGACATTTCCTTGCGACGTTGCTAATTTAGCCTCAAGATTTTTCAAAGAGGAACTAACTATTTTCGCTCCAAAATATTTTAACATAGTTGATTTTTGTAGGTTAATGGTGTATGACAAGTTTCACTTTAAATTTCGTTCTTAGCTACGTGTTTTAGCAAGGCTTTCATTTATTTACAGTTTTAATCTTATAATAGTTTAAAAGGATATTTTACCGTTTTGACGTTAGCATTGTATGTTTAGGATTTTGATTCTGTATTGTCATTGCTGTTAGCTTTGTTTCTATGTTGCAGGAGCTAGAAGAGGTGTACTCGGATCTGTGCACGACGCTATCCGACTCACTACAACAAGGAGCTGAAGTTATATCCAGCAGGGTATGACTTTATAACACTTTGTCCTTGCTATAGAACTAGCAATAGCTACACTATTAAAATAATAATACTGAAAGTGTTTAGACAACTTTTTATTAGGTTTCGTATGTCAAAGATGTCAAGTTAACTGATGTCTCCCTCATATGATTATTGACAAAGCATAAAATGGGCATAGTTTCTAATAAATAATAAACATTTGTGTTTATATCTAAGTAGTGAAGTGGACATTCAGGCAGTGTGAACGTTTCAGGGTTGATTTATTGCTAAGCATTTCCGTTTATAAACTAATTTATGATTAACATAAATTCGATATAAAGAACAAAATTGTGCACTTAGCAAATGTATGGCTAAGTATGAATGTAATTTAAGTTTTTATATTTCAAAAAAATACTTTAAAAAGTGAGCTTTAGATGTAATTTTAAAGTTCGTTTAAGGGGCCACCCAAACATTCTCTCTTGTAAGACTGAGTCTATATGAACTAATCTGTCTAAAAGGTCAATTACTTATCACACTATGACATGACTAAGCAAAGATAAATCTCATGATCTTCTAAACATTAATTTTAAAGCCTTAAGTAAGCAAGTAACACTGAATGTAAGGTATACGGTTTAAGTAAGGTAAAGTACAATGAAGTAAGGTACAACAGTAAGTAAGTGAAGTAAGGGAAGGTACAATGAAGTAATCAGAAGTTAAAATGAGTAGTTCGTTTTCAATAATAACTTCGATGTTTTAAATCTATTACTTCAGTTTAAACGGTTTCCAGAGTGTGTTCTAGAAAGAAGCAAAGCCTTAATGGCATAGTTAAAACGGCCTGGCCTAGCCCGAAGTTACTGCTAAACAGCTCCAGGCTAGTGGCCAAGAGAAGAGATGAGGGGGTTTTTAGCCTATAGTCCGGGAACATTGAGCCTGCGGGAGTCCGGCACTACTGAGAGGACATTGTGCGTCTCAGTGTGCGTAAACGCACCTTAAATTCCTCCCCAATTAAAAAAAGAGGGTGTTTTAGTTTTTTGTATTTGTAAGATAATATTATATGGTGTACTTTGCTATAGGCTGATCTTTTATATTTGTATGGTTAACAATTTGGGGTTTATTCTACAATAAATAAGTAATTTACATCAGCACTCTATCGGTGGTTCAATTCAACTACGCTCTTTTATATTCTAAACTTAACTAAATCTTCAACATAAGTATGGGTTGTTTAGTTTTAACTAACAATCAATGGTACTGTAGTCTACTCATGGTTCTTTGTCCTCTAGGCGACGGAGCAGTCAAGACGCTACGAAGTTCTGTCCAATCAGTGCAGAGCAGTTTCCCCCACTACGGATCTAGCACATTTCGTGAGGTCCCTAGCTCCCCTACCTCCCCAGGCCCATCCCTCCCACCGTCTAAGAGTCTTCACTCCCCCTCAACCTCCCCAGCAAGACACTCAGGCCGACCCGTCGATGGCCGACGGACCACCAATCAATGTTAGTACTGTACCTCTTTGTCATAAAATGGCTCTCTGATTGTTCTACATAGATTCGTTATAGTTAGCTGGGTTATATTTGATATTCTGCTCAATTATACAGTATCTAACTGAACGGCACTCAACCTACATTTTAATCAGTTTCTGATATTATTGGAAGTCTGGAGAGGGTCTTATATCAGATTTGTTCCAAGAAAGTTATTTTTAACCTACAAAATTTGTATAGCATAAAATATCTCTCTGATCTAGAAACAAACACCTGTTTTCAATAAACTGAATATCTTGAGCAAAAAACTTACCACTGTCTTAACTTACTTATTTCAAGCTCCCTACACCAGACATATTTGTAGAGAGTGCGTTACGTACCTTAAAGGCCGAGATGAAACATGCGGATTATTTACTCTACATATAGGGTGTCAACTTGGCAAATTCTAAACAACCCATTTCAATCAATCTTTTCAAAGCGAATCATACATCTGTAGCTTGTGTTATTGGATATTCTAGGACCTAAACGCACCAGCGCCTCTGAAGAACGAGGTGGTGGTAGATAGGTTAGCCTCCATCCAGGTGAGGTCGAGGTACGAGGCTCTGAGAGTGGAGGCAGTGGAGCTGGAGACACAGATCAAGCAGCTGCAAGACGCCTTGGACACCATGGTCAGGATACAGCAGAGGTGAGGGTCTACTAGTAGATACAAAGGTCTGCTGATTGTCTTGATGATTCATAGCAGTATTATTGACTATAGACTATGAAGAAGAAAAGTGTATGTTACAGCCTAAGCTTTGGATTAACGATGTTCTATAGTTTAGCCATATTCATGATTGGGCATTAAACTAGTTTAGAGTGATATGAGTCTCTGTCACTGTAAAGATAAGGAAGAGCTGCTGTGGGTTCGCGTTATAGAGCACTCATTTATAATGTATCAGTTTCATGATAGTATTGTGGCCTACCAGTCCGCCCCTTGCTTTTCTTACGTTCTCCGCACAGGCCTGAGGGTCATGTGGACGGCAAATTCAAGATAAATAGAGGCCTCCAACAATAAGGAGCTCGAAAAAGTTGAAGTTTATAAGGTAGATTTTTTAGAAATACGTATAATAATAACCGAAACCATAATATTACACCGTAACACTGTAATATTAATATTAGTGTTAATTATTTTCGTTTAAAAATTCAATGTCGGACAATGCATATGCACGAGTATATCCTATATATAAATAAGTAAATATGTTTCTTGAAAACCACTTTTCTCAGCTCGTGTGTATTGCAGGGAAAATCTACACATGCTGTTAGAAATATATTTTCCTGTAGCTGTACAGAATGCCTTAATAAATTCAAATAAGCTCAAAAATAAGGACAAAAAAGAATTATAAATTTGTTTATTAATATGGGCATTATGGGTTCCATGCTGGTGACGAAATGACAACGAAATATAAACAGAAAATAAAAAAAAATTGAACAAATTCCAAACACACGTTTTATTTACAGCTTGGGGTGAAAATAGAGAAGTCTGTAAATTACATGTTTGGTAGAGTTTTCGACCACTTGACAACCTCTTAGCCCAGTCAAATGGTGTTTTGAAATGGAAAGTTTTGGTGTAATTGTTTTCTTTTGTTTTCTTTATGTTTTTTGGGGTGCTGAATCCAAATTTGAAGTTATCCAACAAAAATTTTATCGGCAAGTATGAAATTTTTTGTAAAATAGGGTAAAAATTTTATTTTTTTCTAGTTTTTGGCTCATAATTTATCGAATAATAATTTTTCCCAAATATCATCCTATACTAAAATAAAGAGCATAAAATTGTCTACAGTTTATGTATCTATAACTTTTATCTACAACAAAGAAGTGTTTATCAAACTAAATTTAAAAGGTCTGCAAAATTCATTGATTTAGGAAAAAAGCAAAATTATTTCCGTTATGACTTCTCCAGAACATAGATGTAAATGATAGATATCACATAGATGTTGATGTGTGTGTGTTCATAGGATGTAAAATAAAACGTCCCATAAATCTTGTTTTATTTAAAAATATTAAACCCTTTTAATTTTAAAATACATGTACACCAACATAATGGTAGATACAAATGACTTTGATTAAGTTAAACTTTTTAATTTCTCCGAGTCTTCTTGGCCAACAGTACCCTGATTTCTGCAGAGCTACTTTCAGGTTCTTCTTCACCTAAAACACCTTTCAAGATTTGGATCTTCAGTATGTGTGAATGCTTTACATAAGGCAGACTTGGCCCCTTTCCTGATACCAAAGTCATCGAATAGAGGCATTGGGTGCGGGCATAGTTCGTATTTCAAAAAGCCTTCAAGTTTCTCATCAGACTGCTTGGCAATTGTCATTCTGTAAACAATAGTAGTTGGATTGATAGGTACGACTTAGGTCATCATGTATTTTAAGGGAATGGATCATTGTGGAAAGTGGCAAAACTCTCTCTTTTCTGTAAAACTTTACATGTTGAAAATCACTTCCCACGATTGGAGTTTAAGCAATGTGGCCAATCTCCTCAGCCTTGTGGCAGTTTATATTGCTGTCTCCCACGACACCTGAGCTAAGAGACGTCAGCGAATGGTTTGCGTTGCGTAAACCAATCATCTAACTTTCTTAAATCATTTCCATCTCTTTTGATTCTAGCTTCTCTCATTTTAACTTTTTGTTCAGAGCTGATTAATGTCACTCCACACATCTACTCGATTTCTTCGCAAATGTTTTGTAGTGAAGTCATTCCTTTGTTCATCTGCACAGAAACCCTTCACTTACACCACGGTCATGGGTAAGCGCTCCAGAAATTTTCATTACTCTCATAAGAAATTGGTCTATGAACATGTCCGTCCAAGATCCACTCCAGAACTTGTTGGTCCTTTGAACGGTAAATCCAACACCAATAAACTTTTAATATTCCTCAGGGCTCATTTTGTCTTTCAACGAGTGCGCCTTAGACGAGGTACAGATTACAGCACTTAGCATACAAGAAATGTACACTTGCATGGAAATATGGTAGCATCTGATAAATAACTTTGAGGTGAAGGTTGCAGTTTGCCGATCTTTCAGCTTTTCTGATCTGGAGCAATAGCACTTTTCGTGTTATCAGATGCATCCCCCCCATTGCATGGAATTTATTATATCCATCCAACGTACGAGTATTTAGAAAAGTTGTTGTTATTCATTTTGACCCTTGGTTGAAATATATAATTGATAAAATAGAAGAATTATCCAACCACAGTTGCTGGTATGACAACTAGTTTCGTTCCTTAGAACATCTTCAGGTCATTGTATGCACCCACATCATCAATGTATTAATACATTGTGGTATGTCAAAAGATTCTTAATAACACTGTCAGAATCACAATAGTAAAAACTAGTCATGTTGATCAAATTATTAAAATTGAATAAAAAGTTATAAAACTGGTTAAAACTGTAAAGGCTGGCCAGCACTGTCTTATCACTGTCACTGACTAAATAAAAAACCTAATAGTAACGGAGAAAAACATACATTTAAAATTCCCATGTTATTCTTAAGGGAAATAAGTAAACTAGGCCTATAATATTTTGCTTGTTATGAACATATTTTGATAAAAAGTGGAAAATGTATTCATTTCATACGAAACCATTAACATTTAAAACACTTTTTACCCTCTCTGTTGCAGCAAACCTAGGTACTCGTTAAACCAATGCTATTTAAATGGGGAACAAATTCAATATTTTTAAAGTGATGTTTAGAGTAAATTGAATCATGCAAATGAAAATTCACTTAGGCTGCAGGTTTGCTGCGGCGGGGGTATTTTGTAATTTCTATTAATTACTTTGTAGATAATGTTTCTGGTATCCATTTTCTGGAAGTAATAAATGTTAAATATTCAATGTTCAATAATTTCTGAATAAAATAACTTTATTTATATTAATATAAATCACTTATCATTGGTTCGATTTTCATCACCAGATAGTCAATGTATGCGGAACTTTATGCTCTACAATTCATTTATGATTTGTTTTTTTTGTTTTTTTGTAGGCTAGACGGTTTTTTGACGTTTTAGCAAAATCTAAACAATAACCCTGAATTTCAAGGTTTTTATGGTCCCAGGTCAGAAGCTCACCTGGAAAAATGGGGTAAACTTCAAATCCTTTTACTTCTATATAAATAGAAAGGATTAAAATGGTCCCCAGCTTTCCAGGAATTATTTCTGGGCAAAAACCTATTTTACTGGCCTATAATTTAAAAATTGTAAGCCAAAAACTAGAAATAAAGCATTTTTTTATGAATTAATTTTTTAATTCACATTTGCCGAAATAATTTTTGTTGGAAAACATCAGATTTGTGTTCAGCAACCTCAAAAACATAAAATAAGCCATAAAAAACAATTACACCAGAACTTTCCACTTTGAGCCCTTTTTAAACACCATTTGACTGGGCTATCTAGTATTTTATAAAAAGGCAAAATTTAACATACCAAAAATAACCCTCTACATATTAGGGGTTCTTCTTGTGGGTTACACTCACAAGAGTACATTGTAGCAGACAGCTTATCTCTGTAATACACACTTCTCATCCTCAGGGTTTAAGTGATGCGAAGTACAAGTAAACATCAATTAATTGAGCTCTGTTCCTTTGAGGCTCCGCGTTTGCTTCTTCATTTAACATCCACTCATTAACGATATATTTCACCATTTTGTAAGTGCTTCAAATGGAACCAATAGTAAAAATACTGTTCAGTCACCTTTGGTTTGTGTGGGGCGATCATTGTAGTTGTGATTTGATAATACGTGCATTTTGTACAAATAAACCTAATTACCTCTCAAAGTAAAATTTGTTCTTATTTATCGGATGATTATTGTTCTTAATGATTTTCTTTTACTGTTAGACCAAGTCAAAGTTTTCTTGTGCTATTATTTAAGAGGATGTTAAACTAACTCAGTGTAATTTGTAATATTTTAGCCAGTGTTTCTGAAGTAAATGGAGAAATTAAGTCTTTCAGTTACTAATAAATTAATATAAAATGTTGCCAATACCCATTATTCATTTTAAACTGTCACGATCTTTTTACGAATCCACAACAAAATTACTATGGGAATCCTATATAGACAGTGCAATTTTATATGAGAGTTTTTACTAGCTATGGGAAAGCGGTCTAAACACCAAAATATTCCTAAATGTGTCAGGGGTCAATCCTTACATTGTCAAACTGAAGTCTTTTGCCTTTAGTAACAAAAAAAATAATAGTAATAACAAACTCAATGCAGAGAAACTGAACATAGAGAATAATGATCCTTTTTCTTTGGTTCAGCTAGTCTTAAATGTTTACAGGCAGCCATATATTAATAACAATAGATAAGTACACAAATACAGCCAAAAGGATTTACATTACATTACAATATACTCTTATATTACATACTCTAATACTATACTACTATACTACTCTTATACTATACTACTTATACTCTAATACTCTTACATTACAAAAGAACCCCCACCCCCACAGATTGTAGTTAAAAAAGAAGCAAAAAATCCTGAAATAAAATAATGATCTCGCTTAGCAAAAGTTTGATGCAGTCATGTCATTGTGCGTTCTTGCCGTACAATCAATATTGTACTAATTATCAACTATCAAATAACATAGTTTGTATGTAACGCAGGAGTTTGGAGTCACAGCTGTACAACAAGGTGAACGAGCTACAAGAAGACATCAGCATAAAGAGGTTCGACCTGCGAACAGCACAGATACACCTCGCGGCGGTCAGAGCACAGGTAAAGTTAACTATCAATACACTAGTTATTGTATTATATTTTATGAAAGTTCTCCTCAAGTGTACCCAATGTGTGTATATTAAGATATTTCAATAGATAAGTGTTTGGATAACCATCTGACAAACAATATTACCGTTAATGTAAATCGATTGTTATAAACTACAAACTCTTACAGTTACAGGTAAGATTTTCAAATCTTTTTTTATGTTATGTATATCTTTATATGAAATGTTTGGTAACAAGTAAAAATTAATTGAGGTAAAATTTGGAGTTAAAGTTGCCAACAATAAATTAAATAAATTTTTCAGTACGGTATGCATTGTGTAGAATTTTTCGGCGGAGTATTTCATAAGCATGCTGCCTCTTGAAAAATACAAAAATTAATGAAATACTATAAAAAGGAACGAGCCACAATATTTTAACCCCTTGTACAGGTAGGAGTATGCAAAAGCGTGTTTACTTCCAAAATAAAAAAATACGAGACATTTTTTATGCATTCATTGAGTTGTTAAATTGATCAATATCAATTGAATGGACGTTTACAGAATGAAAATACATATTACATAAAAAAAACTATGAATATATATATTACACAAATGCTATTTCAATTAATTTTAGATATTATTCGTGCATTCAGAAAGTTATTCATCTTAATATACCTAAATATTTTTTCATCTTAATATTTAAAGTAGGTGTTAAACTAATTAATTTTCTATCCGTCTTATCAATTCCCGTCGCGAATTTCAGCATCCTAATGTTGAAATAATATTCATAATGACGCCCTAAAATTTTTAAAAAATGCAGGAATCGGTCTGAGATGAAAAAATGCTAATCCACCGGTTATCCACTCATTTCATATTAACAACGATTCCCCGTTGCATCTCAACATGAACTATAATGCAGTGTAGCTGCAGTTACGACACCCCTGTTCTGACCTACATTTGGTGCGCGAATTAATGATTGACAGCAAGGGAACTCCCTAACTCATCATGGAGAAAATCTGATCCATCTCAACTTAGGTGGTAGCTAGCAATTTACAGGGTGTTTTCAAATGAATTTGGAATAGTTTGACCCATTTATGGTATTTTTAATGTGTAATAGAATTTCAAACCCACTATGAGCCGCACCACCCCGCGCAGGCGCTCCTTCGGTCGCCCGGGCAGTCGATACGTCGTTACCATGCACTCAACATATCGTTCTAGACTTTAATTTTTAATGTAGCCGATTTAGATTGGAGTAGACCTTGGTAGTAGAGCGGGTGCCTTTTTTCGTCGGTAGCGGATCGAATTCCGTTTCCCAAACGGATATTTAACAAAATTCGTATTTTCGTGATATAAAATTTTAAGAGATTTGATTATTTTACGGTTTAAGTGTTATCGGTTAGTGATTTTAAGGCTGTGAATTTGTGAATTTCGTAATGGGTTGGTTACAGATCCGTTTACACTTGGTAAGTGAGATTTCAACCAATAATTTATTACTTAACCATAATTAGTTAAACGTCCTTAAAAAACATATTTCTAAATTAATTTAATAGTCACGCTTACCACAAGATATCTTATCACCCTATACCTTACATCATATTGAATAATAAAACTAAAACTTTACAAACATAACTACTGTAACAATCAGTTTTAATTTTCAATGATCAACAAGTTGGAAGAATCATTTTAAAGTCTTACTCTTTCATGTCTTGAACCACGATCCGTTGTTAACTTTACTATGTGTGGCATATTTTCCAAGACCGTGCTATATACAATAGGACGGTTGTCAATAACATGGCTCAAGTCCAAGTCCAAGTCGTATATGATTGTGGCGACTAGCGCCACGTCTTGGGGAAGTGCCTGCTCGCTGGGAGCATATACTTCCGGTCTGCTGTGGGTCCAAGCCCTGGTAGCTCAGCTACCTGTAGACGTCAACGTCATAAGGATGACTTTCTCAACATGGCTCATGGCAACCTAGCTATGTCTAGTGAGGAAGGAAGAGTCTATTTGAAAGTTACGTGGCAAGATGGCGACGTTAGTGCCTGGAAGGTCGTGGCAGTCACGTGGTCCACCTGCCACGCTTATCATCAGTTTGCGTGATGTCTAACAGTATCCATCCTGAAAGCGTGTTATTATATCCAGTGTTGCCAAACTGAACCAACAGAATCACCGAAGTAGTTCTTTATATCGTGTTTCAATTGTGAAAGTACGGAATATCTTATTTAAATAATTGTTCATATAATGTGATATCAATATAATTTTTTTTTTTACTTTAGGGGTTTATATAATTTTTCATCGAATTGTCCTTCTTAACAATTCAGCTAATTTTTACTTGGATTTTAAGATGTATACGGTAAATATCAAAGGCGTGTTATGGATAAAATCTGAAGCCATTGCAGTGGAAATGTAAATTTAATCTTATCAACTCCCTCGTTGAAAAGGTTCCCAAATAAATTAATGATTGTAATATCACTTATCACCTCACGGAATAAAGTTGGCTTTACTGCATAAAACCAGATTATTGGTGTAACTAGTTTGTTAACTGATAAATTTTATCTTCAAGTAGCTATTACATACATAACCTATTGTGTCAGATAAAAAGCTTGTAATAGGTAGCTAAATTTTTCGAAACTATTGAGTTCCATCCCTAAAATTGGGAATTTTACAGCCATCCATTCAGAGGGGTTAGAGAAATTTCTATGTTAGCGTAAAATCCGATACTGTGCACTAAAATAATTTTCTCAATTCATTAAGTAGTTAAAACCCACAGCTCACACGAATTACAAGATCTTAAAAGGTAAAAAATAGAGTAAAAAATAGTCATAGCCCTGATAAATACCAACATACCCTGCGATAATTTGTAGCACTATAATATCTTTGATATAAGGGAACTTATTGTTTAATTGTGGTTTTACAAAATTACTTAAATAAGAGAAAACCCCGACAATTAAGTTAAACTTGACCATTTAAACTATTAAACATCAACAATGCATTTACAAAAAATAAGTAAATTGAACAGTTTTAACAGAAATAATTATTTTGTTTAGTTAAAATTTATTTTATTATGCTTGCGCAAACTTTTAAAACATGCTTTATTAAGTGCATTTAAACTTATAAAAATTTATTTGCCAGAAATGGAGTTTAAAAATGATATATTGCTCAGTGTTCGGAACCAAAACCTAAGCTGATGGACTTAATAAGTAACCTAAACGATAAAAGGCAATTTAGAATAGACTTCATGAACGCCTAAACAGAACAGATTGGCAATCTTGAAGCTGCATCAGTTTTGCAGCCAACATACTGAAGGAGGCCTTTATTGTTATTATTTTCGCTTCCTTTTATTGACAATACTGCTAACATTGAGTATACACTTTATTATACTTGTATGCTCAATGCTACTAAACTTCACAACATCAATTAACGTTTTCTTCCATATGAATGTGTAATTTTGAATATAAAACTTCAATTGATTAAATAATATTAAATAATTGACGTTAATATTGATTAAATAAGTACGATGTATATCGTGCTTATTTTAGTATGTATCAATTAATATTCTCATACTATTGTTGCATTAAAACCTTAATACCTTTCTAGCTGTAGTTATATAATGAATATTATACCACAAGCTGTAAAAATACGTCCGTTTAATTACATACTTTTGGTATTTTTTTTTTTTTTAACAAAGACTTTTTAATTTTATTTATGCGTAGTTTAATAACCCCTTTGCTTTTCAGTACGGTATCAGCTTTTGTTATATGTTATTAATTTCAATTTAAATTTTTTTCAAATATCAAACCCTAAGGCTTATCTCTATTAAACTTGTTATCTCTATTATTCTTGTATTAAAATACTTTCCAAACAATTTTCAGCAATGTACAAATAATGTATAAAATTGTAAACAATATTTTTGTAAATGTATAAATAAAGTCCAATAATCAATAAACTCTGTTATTACTTACAATTTTTCTAAGAAAAGTAAATCCATTGCCTGTTTTAGATTTACTAAAATAACAGTTGTTTTGTTCTTTCCAGAAAGAACTGTTTGCGTCCAAACTCGACTCGGCGGAAGGCGCGAGTGGTAGGGACCGGAAAATGTCTTCGTCCTCGACCGGAAGTATGAAGTCGAAATGGTTGAAAGCTTTTAAAAGCTTAAAAACCACGAGTGGTCCGTCCAATGGAACCTCGCCTAAGGAGGGAGAAAAGTAAGTAGAGTAATTATACTTAACTTTAGTTTTACTTTAGGTGTATTAAGCTTTAGTCGTTTCCAAATTCGTAGCCAATGGCTGTTTATAATGCTGCTATTTTATAATTGCAATATTTATATGCATATTTTACTATTAAACTCATTTGCAACTCAATTTCAGCTTTCTAGTATACAATAGAATATTGAAGGTACATTGTAAAAATGTAAATATCTGTATAATTATGTAAAATGTATTTATTTTCAAACATTATTTTTATTGGGGAATTTTCAAATTTAGGGACTTAATTTTGTTGAAAAAAGCTTAACAGCTTTTTTAAAAAATTTTTGCAAAAGGAAATCCTTAGATACAATTGTGTGAAATAAACAATTTGTTACAATTACTGAAGAAAAGTATCTTACATAACCTTACAAATTCATTTTGTAACCTAGAAAACGTTATAAAACCCATTTAATTAATAATCTGATTTATTATAAATAATTGTTTGCTTTAACTTAAAATTACGCAGTATCATTTAGGGAAAATAGTTTTATTTAATTACGGTATTAACATCGTATTTTAAAATAAACGATACTAAAATCGTGATTGATATTTTTCCCAATTAAACATACTTTCTAGAAATATCAGTCGTCGTTATATATATTTTTTATATTTCAGAACATTGATAATAATTGTATACACATAACATATTTGCTTGACAAATCTTTAAATATAAGATAATTTATTATCTTAATACATGATGTATGCATCATATGTACTAATACTGATTATTTATCAAATTATCCTTCAACTGAAAACTGTCCATTTTAATGTTAACGGGTAAACATATTTAATTACAAAACCATAATTTAAATGTCTTGAATTTCAAAAACATTGATTTCAGAAAATGTACATGTGTTTTCGGAAATATCTAAAGTTAATTTTTTTTCTGAGTAAAAATAAACGTAACGATTCATTAAATAATAGCTATCATAATTGTAGGATTTAACTGTTTTTTGTTAATCAAATATTTTCATAATTTTTTATTCATCTAACAGAAACTAGTATTATTTGTGTTTTACTGTGATATATTTTTAAATTTTTAAAGCCAATTACAGGAAAAATAACGTAAATAACGCGTTTTAAATTTAAAATAAATTTTCTTCTTTTTTGCTCAATTCTCGTATATTCCAAACAGTACGTGTCTTGTATTATAAGGTAACAAACTATGTAGGTGACCAATATATTTATTTTTTATTCTTTTATTATTACTAAATATTTATTTGAGGTTAATGTATTAATAGGCTATAAAACACTTAATTAGCATATTTTTAATATTTTTCCTCACTGTCCATTCAAAATTTCAACATTATGTTCACCAGAAATATAGGCAACATTTTTTTTAGGCCATGGAGATTTGCTGATATTCCTGTAAAAAGATCAATATGGTAAAAACTGACGAATTTTGTTTAGAAACTAGCAATGTAAACCATTTTATAAAGTAGGGGGTTACGTTTAACGCACTGGGGAGTGTTATCTAGATAGTTGATTACACAATGTTTATTTTTTAAATAGTGAATATTCTGGGAGTCTTTAAACTGGATTTCACATGTAGTGCATTGCTAGAGGAATGAATAATAAACCAATGGATTGCTTTAGAGTACAATTAGTTAGGCCTGGATGTCAAGCTATGTAGCTAAGCTTTCAGGCATTGTACTTTCAGTGGCGTAACACTGAAAACACACAATTTTCAAATCCCAGGTGGAAATCGGCAGCTCTTAAGCTTGTTACACTCTTATTAACAATTTGTTGTAGAATATAATGAGTCCTGCTTCAAATAAGTGTTTCCTAGGGACCCCAAACTATAGTAGATCTTATGATTTAGATATAAGGGGGTCTCAAAACCTTTTAATATTGATTTTCTTCCTGTGACTCATCTTTGAACCAAACGAAAAAATGCTAGATCCGATTTTACTGGGTGTCATTTGTTACGCCATTGAGTACAAAAATATGTTAACTATGCACCAATATTTTGCACATAGTCTCTACTTACAACTTTTGAAAGTGGGATTGGTAAAAACGCCATTTGATAAATCTATTGCTGAACTATCCAAAAATAACGTAAAAATGTCTCATCCTTTTACATAGTTTGTTTGTACCGTGTGAGTAAGTTATAATAATTGGGCAAAATCAATTAATTAAAACAACTAGTTACATACATTAAATTTCTGAAAATGATTTAATTGCTATTTATAATGTTAATTCAAAATCTATAAAAAACATTCCATTAAATTTTAATTTACAAGATTACTCTTGAAACTTACATTTTACATTAGAAATAATAATTGACACTCCCATTCTCCACCTAGGAGATGACAGAAAAAGACTCTTTTCAAGCCATTAAATTACGATCTATATGTATTTTTTATCATTTTTATCTGATCACAAGTGCTTTGTGTTCATATTTGAATATTTCCATTCATAATATGTATTATTGTTTACTTTTTATTTTAAAGCAGCATAACCTTTTACTCACATATTTAAAAATGTTAATGCATTTGCCTTTCGACTTAATGTGTAGTTATTTTTTACGTAGTTAGTTTTTTTCTTGATGTTTACTAATCAGTGTTTTTCTCTCTTTCCTCTTATCTTTCTCTTTTCTCTCCATTGTCGTTTTTGTTTAAATTTTTGTTTTTCCACCACCCTCGTCCATTCCACTGAGCAACTCTTTCACCCCTTTACCTAAATCCTTTTATATTTTCTCTCTCAAACGCTTCGACTCTGCGATTCCATAACAGAAAGAACCAAATGTACCATGCGGTTTCCACCATCATAGCGATGAGGTAAATATCCGATTGTTGTATTTGAGTCAGGTTTTGCTGGTTACTTGCTGCACCCGCTTCTTAAGGGTTTTGCAGTCTGTGTGGTGATGTTTAGTACGGTTTTGTCAACGCTATGTATATACTTCTTGCTTACATGTATTTAACAGTTGTCTATTTTGTGGCTTATCGTTGATCACACATATTATTTTCATATGCTTTGCTTTTATCCAACTTAATGTATTTTAATTTGTTAATTTTATCTGTACCATTTCCATCTTAAATTTACAAGGTCCTATTCTACACCTTTCTATAAGAAATCCTAATACATTTAGAAAATGGTTTTAATCAATAGGAAACATGATATTTTTAACATTGAATGTAACATTACAGGAAACCTTTTTAATTATTAAAATTTGATTTTATGTTTCTACAGTATTTGGTCGGTAACAACTGGTTATTAATTTTACAACGTAAATTATTAGTTTCCAGAATATATTTGTTATAATCTCATGTGATAGTTACATTTCTAAACGATATTCTTGCACCCCTGATGTTTTTCTCACTTATTTCCTAAACACAGTAATCACATTGAACAGTTCACAGTTGTTTTTATCACATTTCTTCACCACACGAAATCATAAGTATAGTCAGTTTGTATGGCTTCAACTATCTTCTCCACTGTGCTATGCCCATGATCCAGTGATGGGACTATCTGGACCAGGTATTGTCGTTAGCTTGTAAATAAACTGTTATTTTTAAATTTGTAGTCTCTATAAGGGCTAGTTTTATCAAGGAAGTATTACTACAGTGTAATAAATAGTTTGTGTAGCTTATGTTACTTTCATGTAGTTTTGTCTTTATATAGGGCGTAGCTAACTAAAGAAAACAATCTTTTTCCTACAGTTACCTAACAATGTACATGTTCTCTCACTGGTTTGAGAAAGCAAAGTGGCCAATTCGCTTATCAGTGAGACAATGTTAACATTGTCTCACTCTAATTACTTTGTCTCACTCCAGATTTGCAACGTGAAGGCACGAAATAATGAGCGCGTAGCATGCAGACAAGGTCGTATGCGCGCAAAATACGTAGGCAGCACTGGCTGTAAATCAGCTGGTCAGCTGTTGTACTGTTGTTGATCGTGTTGATAATTAAATGTCATATTAAAAGTTCACTTCTGTGTAAAAATATGTCACGTTTCTTTACTAATTTATTTGTTTTATTGTAACTGTAGGAAAAATATAATGTGCAACTCGAGTGCAAAGTGCAGTTGCCTCACTCGAGGAACCATTCCTCACTCGCCTATGGCTCGTGAGTAAGGATTTCTCTCGAGTGAGTCAATTGCTCACTAGTTGCACAAATAACTATAGTAAACGTTTAAGCAGCGTGAAGCATAAAGTTATATTTACAGAAATTATATTTAATGTTAGAAATTTGTTAAATTCTAACAAGAAATAAAAATTTTTATTTTAAAGTAAAAAATATACGTTAGAAAATAAAGATTTACTTTAATATAAATTATAATATCATTAGTAGTGTTAGTGACATTAATTTCCTAACAATGCTAAAGTCAAACTTAGAGTATTTTTATCCTAATTAGTTTGATCATACAATGAGTTAACATGCTGACTCAACCCGTATTACATTAAAAGAAAAGATAATAAAACAAAAATTGATTATTTGTTGGTAATTGTGTTATTTCTAAACAGGAAAAACGGAAGAGATAGTGGACTAAACCTAGGATTAGAGTCTGCAGCACACCAGTTCCAGGAGTACACTTACAAGAAAATAACCCCTTGTGACGTGTGCTCTCAAGTTTTAAGAGGTATTGTACCACAAAATCCTTCAATCGAAATATGCAGTTTAGGTTGAAAGAATAGAAGTTAAATTAGTTGTTTACTTTCACAAAAGAAATGGAATGACGGCATGAACGTTTTATCTTATGTCGTTTATAGAAAAATATCAATAGTAAGGTAACCTGTTATACGGTATTTGATAACATATAATTTCATTGTCACCATATTTTTTGTGTTTGTATTTTTTCGCTATATTTTTTGCGTTGTTTAGTAAATATATGAATATATCTCTTAAGTGACCTGGACAAGTAACGTAACGCATTGTGAAGAAATATACGCCAACATTCAAAATACAAGTACATTTACAAACAATTAACTGTTAATAAAACTTGCTAAGTTAAAGTTAGTATTTGTAAATCAACGATTTTAAGAAATTTAAAGAAAAGTATGAACTAACACATACCTTCAACCTTGTAAACAATGTCCTAAGCCACGCCTAATGCCATTAGATTTACTAAGAATATGTGGCAGCACACACCATGTTCGTTATATGTCTTACGTGTACAAGTGGTGAATTATGCCCAGTGCAGTTATGCAGTTAATGCAAGTGCAGTTTCAGTACGTCACTCATTATGTAATATATCAACAATAATGTGTTAAAGGGCTACGTCTTGAGCATTGCCTATTGTTAATGAGTACATGGATATACAGGACACACAAGACAAGGCTTGAAGTGTAGAGTGTGCAAACTGAATGTCCATCTAGACTGTCAGGAAAAGGTTGGGCGTTGTCAAGCCAAATCCAGGCTGTTACGACGGCAGAAGTCCACATCAGAAATTGAAACCAGGGTCACACCTGCGCAGGAGGAAGAAGGTAGGTCTTACATAACCGATAGCATATCTAACATGATCGTATAAGTAGTCCATGAACAAGTTCCCGGATCTAATAGTGCAGACGTAGGAAAATATTCATAAAAGTCATGATAAAGTAGTGCCTCTTTCATTTCATTTTCCATTAACCGATTATCACCCATTCTAATAAGAAGTATTTGCTCACGTGAAGTTTATATACAACTTCAGTGCTATTGAAAATTTTACTGACTTCGTAAATTGATACACTTACTATAGTTAAACCTATGGTAGGCCTCCACGGTCATGATGCCAAATCTGGACCTTAGGAGGACGACATTGTTTTGGAACTGGCTACAATACTGGCGTAACTTTCCAAATATTTGGATGCATTGCAGGAATTCATAATCAGGACAAGCTACAATCCAACCAAATTATTGAAAATGTAACTTTTATAAAACTGTAGCTTTCTGGGAAAATTTGTTGCTTCATCGCATACAAAACGTTGGCCAGTATTTTAACCAGTTCAAAAACACGGTCATACATTTAAGAAAAAGATTCGACAGGCTTAGCCTACTCAAACTGTTACACTTTAGAAGTTTAATCTATATACGTTATTTTAAGATTACTACCAACAAAACACATTATTTAGCTGTATTTAATTAAACTAAGTTTTTTCTTCAGGTGACAAATGTTTGTCACTACATGAATTTCATTCTGATTACAAACCTATTAGTTTATCGGACTCTAAGCCCACCGACTCCTGATGAGTCTGTATGTTGCCAGCTGTTACGCTGGTGGCCAATAGACCAGGAAGGTCCTCGGTCAGTCCAGCGGGGGTAACCCAGGGGGGCTCCCCCTCCACTCGTAGCGTCACGTGGAAAAACCCCCCTTCCAGGAGTTTAGGTACCACAAACAAAAACTTGGCTAATCGCTTCTGTTCTCGTCCAAGCTAGAATGTCAGTCGGCCAATGTGTGTCTTACATGTGGATAGAAGAAGCTAACTGATTGGTTATCACTATTCTCCGATCTGTGTAGTACAATGCTCATTATACTCCTTAATCGTCATTTAGTCCAGTTGTTCATGGTTTAATTGTGGCCAATTTCAAGCTTTTATGCAGTGGTAATGTTTTTAATTGTTTACTGAAAATTATATCGATTAAACTATAACTATCAATGTAGCTAGGATAGGTTAAATAAAAAGGATAAAACATCGTGTTGAATCTTTTTTAGAATGGTGTTTACGCACTGAATCTAACCATACGGATTTTTTATTGTAATTAAAGAAACCCTAAAAATTGGAACTTACACAGATTTAAGTTTATTAAAAGTAGTGTTTTCCCGAAATACAGAGTAAGGGCTAAAGATCACACGTCACCAAAGAACATTACTACTTTTGCATTTAAGTAGAAGGGAACAGAGGTAGACAATTTTCACCCACATGAAAATGTTGAAACGTTAAAAAAACTCTCATTCCACTTAAACTCATGAATTGTGAAAATCAATCAGATAACCAGCCAAGCGTTTCTAGATCGCAGCGAATTATTTAGTAAAGCATAACCCGTAACACATAACAGAGTTGCACGATACAAGACAAGAGTGCATCCGACGCTTCTTAACACTACGCTTCTCTTACATGGTTCCTGGGCTCTTAGCATGCAAACAAGCTACAAACAATCCAACTAATACTTAGTTGATTACATGGGGGTTGAATAAATACAATCTACAAAACTAAGAGTATTAATTATTAATTGATAGTAACTAAAACTTGTAACAGTTCAAAGATTGTATAGTTGATAGAATCAGTATAAGAAAGTAACAGGAGATGGAACTGCAAACATTAATCTGCAACTCTTAGGGAAACTGTGAGCTAAAATAACATGTTTGTGTTTATAGTCAAACATGCTAGATTCCTTGATATTTTATCAAAATCCCTATCTGTCGATAAAAAAAAGTGTCTGAGATCTTTTAGTTTAACTCATAATAGTAATAGTGTTCATTATGATGTATTTAAAGTTAAGTTTTAGTAGTTTCTCATAATATCATTCATAAGGTAGATAGAAAATATAATCAAATCCATTGGCAAAAGAATTGTAAAAGCGACAAAAAAATAAGTTTATAGATGTTGAGGTAATGTAGTCGTTTACATGGACATGGCTACACTCACACAAATTTGTCAACCACGTTGAAAGTGGTAAAAACACCTGACCTAGGTCTTTAAATGTATAAGTCTTTATATGAACAAAAACAGTTTGTCTGCTATGGTAGAAAATTATCTACCATAGCAAACAAACAGTTTTTGTTGTTTAAAATTAACACTCTATTAGAGAATTTATCCAATACACCCAGCTCAGTAGAAAATAATTTACACATATGGATTAATCGAAGCTGTAATGATTGATATGTTATGTTCGAACGTACAGATAAAGTAATGGAAAATATTTCTTTATAAAATCTCTCAATCGTTAATTATAGAAAAAAGGTAGTAAGAATAGTCAAGTATAGAATATTAGTATGATACCTAACAATATTATTTTAGTTATTCCAGAAATAAAAAACAGATCTTTGCAAACTGTGTCAAGCACAATAATATTTTCTGGTACAAGTATTCTTAAAGAGGCAAAACTGTAAATAAAGAATTTAAACATACAAAATTAAAAGATAATGTACCAAAGAATTTTAAGTTGTAAGGATCAAAAAAGAAACTCAACTTTTAAGATTTGCTGTTTCTATTGCCATCATAAATGTTGATACCTATGATACCTCAATAAATCTTCTTAACATGTCTAATAAAATAGAATTTAATTGGTAACTCGTATGTGACAGCCTATGGCAAACTTATACAATGTTCATGTTATTTTCATGCAATACTTATTAATAAGCTACACAATATATACCTACGTAATTAAATTAAAATATAATGGGTTTAGCACATATTTTTTTTATTAACCTAGTGGCAGAACTGTTGGTAGAAGAGAATGGAAAGTAGCAGTTGTTTGTAGGTATCGGGGGGGAGGGTTGTAATTCATCTGTTGTTCAATAGCCATGTTGATATAAATACCTAAGGAGTATTCCTTATGTGATTAAATGTATTTTCCAATTTATCATTCAATCATTGTTGTATAACTGATAGCCATCCGCGAACATGAATCTCAAACAAAATGAAAAGTGAAATACAATAATTAAAGAGTGGTAAGGAATAAACTTTATAAATAATAACTCCTCACAAGTCAATTACATATTGGAACAACGGATGAATTTATGAATACAAAAACCTCCCGTTGCTATCAAAAAACCACGGTCACTCGCCCTTCTTTTCAACCAACACTACAGCCATAAATGAACTTCATAAAATGAAATGAAATCATAAATGAACTTAAATCCCAACTTCTAGTTTGTCTATCGCAAACATCTGTCGAATCTGCAATACCCAGATGTCCCTGTTTGCTGGTTGTTGTGGTCTGTCACTAACGTGTGAGGCTTGTCACACTTTGTTTGTTGTCTGCCGTGTTTGTTTGACATCACATCATCAAATAATGTAAATAACATCTCATTTCATCATCACATCAACATAAGAGGATGTGCTTTGTTGGTGGTCCCAACACATTCAAACACTAACCATTTGATTTGTCTAAATGTGTTTTGTCCGATTTTGACTTTTGATCCCCAGGTTCCTAGGTTTTTATATTATATGGTATTTGATAGTGTAATTTATTTTTGTCGAGGTAAAACAAAGGATATAATTGGGAAAATTATGGAATTTTACCGTAGCTTGAGTATAGGTGATTTTTTTATCAATAGTAAAAAATTTCCTTACTTTTGATAAGATGTTTAGACATATTTAATACAAACGCTCTTAGAATTATGGCAAAGCTAGAAGAATGACAAAAAATTCTATTTTCTATCATTTTGATTTTCAAGCAAACTCAATTTCTACATTTTGGAACTAGAGATCAAAAAAACGCTTCATTTTAATACCATATTTTTTTCTTGGGTCTAAAAGCCCTGTATAAATACACAGGAGAAACTTTTGATTGGGGAACTCATCCAGAAAATAGTTTACAAATTGAGCTGTTTTCATAGTTGGAGCACAAGGTTCAATTTTTATTTGTGTTCAAAAGGTTTAACATAAAAAATTTCAAATAATTATAGATATATTTGTTACAAGTTTACTTTTTTATAAGGCTGAAGAAATTTTCAGTCCAAATGAGTCTATGGAATTCCAAATTCATAGACGTATGTGAAGAATTACAACTATGTAATTTTGACAATCACCCTTCATCCCCATTAAACATTATTCATATTGCTATTGCGACAATGTTTTAATGTAATTTCGTATCCAACCAAACTTGGTGAGGATCCTCTTATGTTCAGCTTGTAAGGTTTGTAAGTTATCGCATGTGTTTGTGTGTGTGTGCGCCTGCCAGCTTCTTCAGAACAAGCATCTCCCGGCGAGGTGGACGCAGTGTACCAGGTGCTCAAACAAGCTACGGAGATATCTTCGACTCGTAACCCCCCCGCCCGGCGGGTCCAACAGGGGCCCCCGCTCATGCTACGGGGCGCCTCCACCCTCACTGTGGGGCCCACCCCCCACGCTTCCAGCTCAGGTCTGCCAATCATACTGTACTTTACAAATCTCTGCACATCCACTAATTTTATCTGATCGCACACAATTTAACACTAACATGCCACACCTGTTTGATTAAACTCTACGATAATTTAGTAAACTATTTACACTCCAGTAAAGCGTCCAGCCTAGGTTGGCCAATCGTAATGTACTTTACAAATCTCTACACATCCACAAATTTACCTGATCACACACATTTAAAATTAACATTTTGTAGGGAGTATTTGTTATATGGAACAGCAATACAATTGGTGTGAAATATTAACTTAGCAAAATCTGTACTTTCTTGTATTATGCTGAAATAAACCAGAGAAAATTATTAGTAAAACGTAACCGAACCTTTTTTACTAGAAAAGTATCTGTGGTCATATAATTAGTCACATTTCGTGACAAATTATTGTTTGTTAAAAGTACAGTGAATTTTTGAAGCAGAGGGAGATGACAAATATTAACGTGAAAGTAAGAACAACTGTTATTTATGAATTTTGCAATTAATTATGACTTATATTGTAATTTCAAAATTTTTGGCAGTTGAGAATTGAACTTTACTACTACTGTAATGGTAAAATGTTATTTATTCATGGTACTTTTAGTACTTACATTAATTAACAATTCTGGTTGGCTTCAAACAAAATATGTAGGAAAATTCCAAATATTTGAAAACTTTAAATTAACATTTTTATAGCAGGATATATAAGGTATCCTCAATAAGTAAAATAAAATCATTTTCAAACATCACGAAAACAATTAGAATCTAGCATGTGTATGTAAATATTTATGAGATAAAGCATAAAAGGGCTTAACATCTTATCAGTTTAAACGAAAATAATGTACAGCATAAAAAGCTATCATAACTTTTGGAATGTTTCCTCTGTTTGGAAATACTAGTTGTTTGGAAATACATTTACATTTGACACACTAACTTTGACCTAAATGTAAAGGATGTTCATGCTGAAAAAAGAAATTGGTGCTGTACAAAATCTTTTTATACCTGGTATTATCACAGTGACATTTGTACAGCAGTCACCAAAATAGTAGCTTTGTAAAACAATATGTGACATTCAAACTATATTGAAAATACTTCACCTTACTCTATGCTTATCCTGTTTCATTTACTGCTGAATAAATGCTCAATCTGACTTTTGAGTGTTTTATTTTCATTCGAACTGTTTTTTTGCAGCACAGGTGTGCCAGAATGTATTGTGTTCCAGGTTATGCATCGTGGCTTGCAACTCACTCGCTTTATATGCATGTTTTCTTTACAGGTTGCTGAATTTCTACTTTTCCAGGTCATGACTTGTTGTTTTTCATACTTCATAACTACGTGTTTTTATTTCTAGCATGGGACATTTGACTGTTCTCAATGTTGTACAGTTCACTTGTGTGCGATTCATGCCTGCGAGTCCGCTTGGACTATTTATATGTGAATGTGATTTATTTTACAATTTCATTTTTATATTTACTTCATACTGTTTTAAGAATGTTCTCTGGACAGCATTTGTTGTTACTAACATGTTTCCTGTTATAAAAACATGATATAGACTAGAACTCAAACTATCTAGAGTTAAATATTTTATCGTGAGTTAATAACATGTATGTAATGAGAATACAACATGTTATTATTATGTTATGTTACATTGATTTACAAGTAATTAGACTTAATCTGCGAAAACTGTTTTTAAGGTACTTAAATTTTGTATTTTTTTTATTTTACTCTTTTCAATCGCATAAATGATTCTTTATAGTAAAAAATTATTATACATTAATAATATTAGGTTGGTTGAGCTTTAGATTTTAGAGATGAGCTTCCCTATTAATATGATATATATTTTTCATAAGTACATTTCTATTATTGTTATACAGTAGTTTTGTTTTTAATTTATTTGTATTCTTTAAAATGCTTAATTAAGAAATCAATTAGTTGCGAATTTTTTTACGATTTAGGTCCAGGCAAAACTGTACACAGGAATAGGACATATTCGTGGAAATAAAACATATACATTATGCGAATGTCTAATTTTGCAGCATTTTTGAACAAATATCAAGTAAAATGTAAAGATAGGTGGGCCCTCTAAATATTGAATAAAAGGTGCTGTTTGAATGACTTGTCAAAGATTGCAATTGTAATTATTCGGTCCCTTGAGACTAATAAAAATGCCACATTGCTAGTTTTTTACATGGGTTGTTATCGTTGTAACTATTAGTTTTATTTATATTAAAAACTTGTTTGGTACAGTTATTACTTGGGACGGTAAACAAATTTAAATGTTTATGGCCATGTATTATATAATTGTATTTCCATGCACAAGACATTATTTAAATAAAAGTTATTATCAATTTCAAGACAGGATACTCTCACTTTAAACAAGTCGTAATATTTAACCTATACTGTTATTTTTACTGTTTTACCTATACAGTTTACGTGTTGTATATAATTTCAGAGTATGATTTCTCTCGGTTGTTTAGTTAAATTATAAGAATTTCTGAAAACTTTTGTTTTTCTAGTGGCTTCATCTGTTACTTTCTTATACCTACAATATATAGTTATCAAGGGGGTAGGTTTTCTCATAAATTAAACCAATAACCAACTACTAAATTGTCTCATTAATATATTCTTTACAAAAAAATATACACAAAAACAACTATCGATATTATCTTCATTTTAGCGACAAGCAAGTTATATTCAATGGAGTTTACAGGCGAAAAATTCGGGTAGGATAAAACAAATTTCTGTAGTTCTCATATTAACATAAAAGGACAGAAAAGGGCCAATTGAAGGTTTTTTAACACTTATAATTTTTACTAAATTCTAAAATACTTTAACGATTATAATTTTTTTTAATTAGACTGCCGCATTTCATAATCACGACTGTAATAATTTTGATATTCTATAAATTTCGCAAATATGCAGCCAAATCGCACTTTTATCTGATAGCCATCCCTGTATAATCAAATTCCCTTCGACCCACTCCATATGTTATTTTACAAATACTAGCTCAAATTCTAAACTATCAGCTCTAATCAAATTCTATTAGCTCCAAAAATGACAGCCATTGACGTTGCTCTAGCTTAGAACTAGCGCTCCTAGTGCATCGTTTAACATCCTTTTACACTTAGTTCTTATTTTTAGTTCTTGGGAGACCTCTTCACCGAATGCAACAATCGTCAATGTAAAAAGCGAATAAAAATGTGAAATGTAGGTTTTGTTTTCAACTAGGCGTGTATTCATTAATTTTACGATTCTTGAAAACTCGTTAAAATCCATATGGAACAGTTTACAAATTTACGTCTTATTTAATATTCTGGTGTGTAAACTTAGATTTTTATGACAAAAGTTACATAACTGTAGATATATGAAAGTACATAGCTATAGATAGGATTCTGTGCACAAGATTAACGAAATCCAAATTGTTTACGTATTTTTAAGAGTTAATTTCATTTATCACCCTTCTAGATGAACATTTTGCACTTTTGTTATTCGCTTATGAGGTTGGGGCTTTTAAAATCTTAATCTCGCCTTACAAAATTGGTTCCAGGCTTGTGGGAAGTATCAATCAAAAACAAGGGATGAGTCGATACAATACCAAATAAAGGAGGCTTATAAATATTTAGCGGTGAAACTGGGACCAACCCCGTTTTGCGGATTTGCGGTTTGTTGTAATATCGACTGATATATTTACAATTTCAGATAACTTAACGCTATTTCTTGATCTGGATTTACTTGATGCCTAATTACCTAAAGCTTTTGGGCACCAACGACTATTTAAACATGTGTTTAGCTTAATCATTCTACGAAACAGATGTACCTTGAACTGATTACCTTCATTCGCTATTTTTTGTTATTAAAAGTAAAAATAATAAAAACTGTGTATTTTCTTTGAAGTTAATTTATGAGAAAGAATCTACGATAGTTTTTGTATACTTTTCTATGTGAAATTATAATGATAATTATGTGGTTTAAACAGTTTAATGGTACAAAAATATTTATTTGAATTTGTTTTTTTCAGTGAGACACTATTTAAGATATTCAGGTACATAAATGTGTAGAGTAGACTATAGATAACACCTTCAACAAAATAGAACATCAACCACAATCACACATTCCATGTATGTGATATGGTTTGAGTGAACTCAAAACTGTGCAAAACAATACAATGTATTTACATGTATTAAACTAAACAACCGCACTGATTAATTATGCTTTTATGTAACAATATTAGTTTATTAATATGTTAGATAAAGTAGTATGTAAAATGTAAACAAATCTTGTATTCATGTTTTGAATTCACTCTACCTATAGTTATATACCAGTAGATATATCACCTACACTTAAATCTGCCTTAAACATATTAAGTGCAAGTGCAGCATATATTTTAACAACCCTAAAGTAGATAGAATTAATATATATATATATATATATATATATATATATATATATATATATATATGTATATATATTTTTTTAATTCTATCTACTATAACATATACTACAACGATATATATATATATATATATATATATATATATATATATATATCGTCATTCAGCAGCGAAAGCAGTAGTTTCTAATACAGTACATGCATTACGGAGGTTCTTTATCTCTAGGTTTAAAAAAAGTCAATTATAGTAAATTTGAGGTCATCAGCTGTAAAACATCTTACACAAAGCTTTACCAAACAAATTGTATTAATAATGTTTACCAAAATATATTTGTTATAGTTTTACACCTTATATTTTCCTACATTAACTATCCTGTTGTCTAAACTATTGAAATGTACAAACACAAACACTTAGTGAATGGATCAAATAGTTGAATACCTCGGTAAGTGCTGTTCTGGTGTGGTAACAAAATAAGATAAATGCTGTTTTGGATCTATCTTACAAATTTATTAAATGTAAAAAACCTTTTGTTTTGAGAATAAGTAAGCAAGAAATAATAAAGAAAATTATAAAGGTGCAATCAGACGAATGATGTAGGTCATCACACAGGCAAAAGAGTACTACGAAACAACTATATACACCATAACGGTTTAGGGATAACTTGTGTGTAACGTGGCTGTTTCTTTAATAGCTTTAGAAATCTTAATTTCTTATTAAATATTTTAAAACTTCCTCAAATTAGTCACACTCCCTATAACCCTTATATCATTTCCTTCATTTATGTAGTACTTTTATTTTATTTCATTTTCTGAACCAGTTACAGTTTTAGTACTAATCGATACATTTAATACATGAGATCACTATTCTAATACAGTTACAGTTATATAGTTTACAAATACAATTTAGATTGTTAAAATGAGTAGGTCTAAGTTTAGTAAGTAGAGAAATTAAATTATTTTAATTACAAAAGACTAATAGGATCTTCTCATAATTGATTTAAAGCATTTGATTGTGTATTATATAATCCGTTAACTGTTAACAGTTAAGGAGTTTTTTGTTCATAAACCAAAAGACACCATCTTGCAAATTTAATTGATTTCAATTCAATTATTAGTCTAATGTCTCATAAAATAAATGTCTATCACTTTCAATTATGATAGTTTTTAACCAAATTAACATGTACAGATTTTATTTTATATTTAGTAAACTGTTGTGATAAATTATTTTACCTCTATGTGGTCTTCAGAATGAATCTTTTCAACTAACATTTACTAATGTAAATACGTCTGTAGAAAGCAGTAATGTTTGTCATCATGTACTATATTGTGTGCTTTGGTTTCATCTTCAACAACACTTTATTAATATAGAACAGAAATACACTATATAAACACTTTTTATATTTTAAGTTTTACTGTAAATACATTATTTCTCAAACGGTTATATAACTAACTCTCAGAAATATTGTTTCCTGTATTTGATTCATTTTCTCATTTATAAAACGAGATTACTAACACATGAACAGTGTAAATACCTCAACAGCATAACGTTTATAAACAAATAGGAAAGTTTAGAAATATTAGGTGATTTTTTAATTATAAGTTTACAAACTGAAGTGTAAAATGGTATACTCATTCGTATAAAAAAGTCAATCGTGAGTCAAGATATTGTATATGTTACTCATGCAACACTACATAAAAATAACCCATTTATTTTGTTTAAGATAAACTCTAATTAAATGCACTATGTTTGTTTTTAATTTGCTATGAACAATAGCTTTGCCAATTAATCCATTAGTCAATGATAATAGGCATTCAACTATGGTAATTTGTGTAGTAATAAGCTCAAAATAAGATGTCTACCTTTGTAGTACATCATAAGTAGACCTGTATTAGAGTCAAGAATAACTATTTTCACTATTTGAAACATTACATCTTTGGTATCTTAAGACGAATCACTCAACAACAATTTCAAAAATATGAGTGAAATATGTCAATTTACATATAAACTTTGCAGTAAAAATTGTATCGGAATACTACAAATCTAGAGTGTATTCTTAAGCAATGGTTCGGATGTAACATGTAGTCCATGGTTCCTAGATTATGGGGTGCCGATGCCACTTCAGCCAACCAACGAAGCAGGTCGAAAACGACGGTTGTTTGGAGGAGTTCGCAGTTTTTCCGTGTTTGGCAATAGGTCATCCCACGGCCGCTCTATCTCACTCCCCGAAAGTAGGCATTTACCTCCCCTTTGGTGGATCCACCCTTGCTAGAAACACTGTACTATACACCTGAATGTCAAATCTGAGAGTGGTTTGCTTGCCAGTGAGAATTTAGATTAACAGCGTACATCGACGAACATTCACTTCAACACATTGTTGGAAGTTTGTTCCTACCTTACAGTACAACGGGGTAGAGATGTCGATTTCATGCTCTAGATGCTGAAGCAGTCTTTCAGCTGGTTTGAGTTTGGAATCGATATTTTTTACTGTTTCAGTATGAATTGTAAGGTATAAACAAATATTTATCTATATTCAGCACGAAGTTTGAATCAAACGGTTCTTTGCATTTGGGGTTCTAAAATAAACTGCTCATGATATAATAATCTCTACATTCAATGTTTTACTAGTTCAAAAGTTTCTCAGACATTTAATTTCAAAAACCTCCTTGTATTCATTTATTTTGTGTTTACTATTAAATAAAAATTTTAAAAGCAAAATTTAGTTACAATGAACAAACCAATTTAAAATTATTGTTATCATTTGATTGTTTCTGTGTTACGGTTTTGTAGCTTCTTACTCCCTTTTGCAAAATTATGTCATATATTGAAAAATAAAGAGTTACAAATATATATAGGATAGGTTGTTTTATTTTAATTTTTCACTGCCAAAAAATAACATTTAATAATTGTAAAATAACATTTGCTTTTAAATATAAAAACGTAATATATCTCACTAATCAACATAATCAAGACAATTACCGTCAGGCAGTGTAGATTTGACCAAACGGTGCAACAATTTAGGGACTAAAGATATATTGACTAAAGATAATATCATAGTGAAAAAATACTTTTCCCCTTTTTATAGTTAGTTAATTTACAGAAATAGCGGGGCGCCAAGGCCAACACGCCTATAATAGTTGCAAGTCTAATACCTCCTTGCTTTTGTTTTGTGCAAAAATCATATTTGATTGATATTTCAAACAAAAACTAATTATTTGCTTTATTAGTAACGCTGGTAAACTGATTTCTTCAAACATTGAGGAATTGCATAGTAGACTTCAAACTTGAAAGAATGCGAATGCAAACCACACATCTCTATTCTTTGTTTTCTGACCTGACTTTAATTAATTAACAACTTAAGGATCAGTATGCCCTTCATACCATCTAATGATTTCCAATATTAATACCTAACATTTCTTCTCTCATGATATTGTTTTCAAACGTTGTCACAACTAAACTCTCACTCTACCCGTTTGCTCTGTGTTCTGTTATGACAGAAATTATGTGTTGTTGCTTTTATATGTTTGTTTGTACATTATACATGTTAGATTGTATTTTATGTATAAGAAATTACAATAGTTTAAAAATGTATCAACTAAATTTAATGTAGCTGTAAAGTTGATTTTTGTATTTAGTTATTGTTGTTAAGAAGTTCGAAGGAGAATTTTCTAAATTAATTTGTCAAATTGAATACTGTATTAAAAAATATTACGCTTAAAATGAGCGAATAATTAATAAAATAGAGAGAGGCATGTTGGGATTAGTTATACTCATATTTCTTTAATTCACTTAGACCATGTACTGAATACTACAGTTAATTCAATTTCCGGTAAAACATTATATAGCATTAAAAAAAATTACGGATTTGATCCTTTTACGAAAATGATTTAACTATTTAACAAGTGCTAATGACATAAACTGTTATTTTATTCTTATTTTATGTCGAATGTTGTATGATGCGTTCATCAAATCGAAAATATACTCACTTTTCACCTATTTAAAGCAACATTATTTTAACTCAGGATGTTATATTAAATTAGAGTATTACATTGATGCACTACATTATTTAAACCTCGGAGATAAAATTAAATTTGCTTTTTTGACATATCCAAAATTATTGTATTTTTTTCTATTTTATGTTCTTTGGGTTTTTGTAGTCTCGCAGCAAAAATTGTGGGAGTTACAAAAAATGACGGCTAGGTCAATACTGCTTTATAAAATATAAAATGCTAAACATGGTTGATCAAACAAATTAAGAGTAGGTGTCAATAATATTATTTTTTACACTCCAATACAATATATCAACATTATTTTTATGTTATAAAGCAATAATGTCATCAATGTTATAAAGTAATGTGTTGTAAAAAGCAACTAGCTTTCAATTTTGTTAATACCAATGCGATTTTTGCTCAAGACAACAAATTCCAAGATAGCACATACTAATTGATACAAAATAATTTACCATGTTACATAATTTTAAAAAACATATTCTAATTCAAGCAAATACCAATAAATTTACCAGTAATGGTTGCGCTAAATTTATATGGAGGGAGCAAAAATCATTAAAAAACTATCAAGCAAGACTTTCGATTTTATTTAAAGTAACTTAATTTACTTTTAAAAATCATTTAGACCATTTATTTTGTATCATTGCAGAATCAGCTAAAATCTTAAAAGATTTTATTTTCAAATTATAACAAGAAATTAACAGGTCCGGGTTTTAAAGATACATATGTGTGAGGGAGTTTTATTGTTTTGATTTTGTTTCTTTACATTTGTTTCTCCGATAAGTTTCTAAGTTTTCTCCCGATAATGGTTTCCAGAACCTCCCCAGTACGCTCCTGGGACCCGCCCCTTTGGTCAACCCTTGGTTCTTGGAGGAAGTCAAGAAAACGGGAACCTCGACGGGATGCCCTCACCATCCAACTCCAAAAAAGGCTCAAACAAAAATCGATGATATATGTAATATATTGTACACGATGATAATTGTGTTATTTTTGCCGGTTGCTTTTTCGTATAAACAATTATATCATATGTAAAATAATATAAAAAATTACAATTAGGATTTTTAAATCATGGGATTGAATCTAAGATGAAGAGAGCTACCGGTTTTGTTCAAAAATCTTTTTTTTCATTTTGAAGCTCTCATTGAAACATTGTATGATACTACAACTGCTACTGTGTTATTCTTAAGGGCATACGCTGTATATAGATTTTTGTATACATATTTCCTTATGTGCCATGGAATATTTTTTTTATTTTAATAAATTTATATGATAAATGTTGGAAGGTTGGCCTAAGAATTTGCTAGACGTTGTTTTATAAGTACCTGCAGAAAATTACTCTTCTTTAAAATATGTATTTATCAACAGTTAAAGATTATGCTGCATCGATTTGTAAGTTCTTTACAGATTTTCTTTTTAAGCTCTACATACGTATTTTAAACGGTTAATTTTGTTTTGAAAAATGATATGCTCCATTTGGTTTTCATATAGATGGTTTCTAGTCTCGCCCGCTATGTTGGAGATTTTCTAGAGTGCATTCCCAATTGCTCAGTATCTTCATATTCCTACTTTGTATTATTAATTTAGTAAAATTCCGAAATGCCTTCCGTTATGTATGCTATTGTATTTTAAAGATGTATAAGTATGATCTTCTTTTAGACGGGGAGTTAAATCGTTTTTACCCTCTTTATAAAAATGTATTTTCGGCGATTACTTTTTTTACTTTGTTCCACACAAAGATTTTGTCAAAAACCTGCATTAAGTTGTTTTATCAATGAAATAAAGTATTTAATAACTTGTATCAATCGCCAAAACATTATCGAGTGAAAATTATCATGTATATTGTTTTCCCGGTTATTTATATACGAGTACATTCTACTTGAGTTTAACCTTATTTTTTCGGAATAAACTGTTTCATCAAACAAATTATGTTCATTGTAACAATAATTCATTTTAAAGACTATAATACAATACCGTGTATTTAAATATTGTGTTGTACGTTGTTTTACAATTCTAAATATATATTAAAAAAAACTGTTTGTTACTCAAAATCCATTACTTAAACTGGTCTAGCTACAGAACTAGTTTTTAAGACGATTAAACTTAATTTATTCCACCTTCTAAATTGAAAATAAAAACATATACATGAACTGAAAATCGTACTAAATGTTTGCAAAATGTATATGTACTATAATACAACTAAGTTTATATTAGTTATTGTTAAATAACAGTATAATTTTGTTTTGATAAAATGCATTTTTATTTCACAAGGAGGTCCCTCGTATTTCCTCGTATTATTTAAAGTAGCCTAATTTGTTTGACAATGTTTAAAGTAGGCCTAAACAATTGTTGGACCAAAGATCAACCATATTGATTTGGAGAATTGCTTTATTAAGAATCATCAATAACAATTTATACACACTCTTTATACTATTTATTAGTTTTTTAATGTAATTGAATGGTATTTTAGTATTTCATATCTGAATATATTAGGAGCAGCAAATTTTGTTGATAGGTTGATAACATAATAAGGGAGTTTTAAGAGTTTTTTTTTTACATTCCGATGTTTTATAAAAGGAAGTAAAATATTCCATTTTTATGCATTCTTCCACCGTACTTAAAAAATTATAACGGCTAGGGAATTTAAAATTTGATATGAAAATTGTTTATCCTAAACATTTTAGCTGTTTTTAATCTGTTTACTGAAACCAGGTAATTTTTATTTTTCGCTTTGCTATCCCCTTTTTAACAATGTGTATTTCCGTCCATTTTCATTACTCGTTTTATATTTGACAGTGTGACTAAACAATTGTTAACAATTTGTACTTTGATGTTGTGATTTTCAATTTGATTTTTCCTTCAAATACATTTTACGAGTAGATAACTTAAAGCTCGCCGATAGATCTTATTTTTGTTTACTACCTCTTCAAATAAACTAAGAATTCACTACTTCGCGAATAACTTAATAGGCGTATGTGAATAGACGTACTGTAATTGACAAATCACGCAATGGACTAAAAGTTACATTATCTTTGATTTTTTTAAATTTCTGTTTTACTTTACCTTGGAGTAATATACATTTCTCGCTATAGCATGTTATCAGCACTAATATAAACAACACATCAGCTATATATTATATAATAAACTCAAAACTATTTTAAGGGAAGGTAGATAAGATATAATTTGAAATCGGTATTAACAACTAATATTGATTTCAGCTTAAAGAGAACAACAAGTTTCTACTCTAGCACTATTTCTGTGATTTTATTTTTACCGAGATAGTTAAAATGCTAAATGCAGTACGTTGTCTAAATTTCTAATTCATACATATAATGTACATGTTTGTGTGCATTTCCAAACATTGGCAACTTATATTTTATCGTCCATTAAATAAATAAATAAACACACCGTTGTGATTTCTCAAAGCGGTCAACCTAATTACTAATTGAGCTTATGGTTATAAATGTTGGTGTAAATTAGATTTTAAGGTTTGCTGCAACAGGAATATTTGCCTTTTATCTATTTTGCATGCTTCAATATCCTGTATGTGACATAGCAGTTGACGAAGTTAGATCTATACAGTTGTGTTCTAAACGCCTTTTTCTTGAAAGCTAAATGCTGTTTTAATGGTATAATGCTATTTCTACATGCCTGATTTATTTTTAACTAGGTGATTTTTATGGTGATTTTTTTAATGGATTATGCAGTAAAAATTTCAAAAGAAATTAATATAAAATTGATCTAGGAGATGATAATTTCGATTGATTTTGAATCGCATACACATGTATGAAAATCAAAATTGAGCCTAACAAAAGTAAAAATCCATCTGGTAAATTATTGGTTTAAAAGAACGAGTTTAATGAAATTAATATCTAACTACGACTAAATTCTATAATTATAATTGCACTACATAAATGATTAAAAAGAAGAAAGATACAAAAATAACCTATGTTTATCTCTTTTTAATATTTTGTTTGCAGAATAATTAAGGATTGGTTATGACTAAAACCTTTTTCAAAAATATATTTACATCATTTAGTTAACCTTTGTAATGCATGTAAGCTTGCATGTTAATGTGCCTTTAAGTCATGATTAATAAAAAGCTTTTTACAAATTAGTGTGTAGTGCCAAATTTGTTAAGTATATCAAGATTCACTAGATCCTAATAGTGGTTGAGTTAGGGTATATCATTTTTGCTACCATGAATTAATTGGTAACCAATTTTGAGATATTCTCAATTAGGTACTGAATCATGCTTCCTATGTTTAAACTGAGATCCTTTGACACATCCTTTTAATATCCTCCTGAATATGTTGTCTACTTTCTTAACCTTAATACAAATTATAATTACCATTTGCTTTAACACAGTGATATTTTTTAATAGTGTGTGAAATGATTATATATGTATAATAAGTCAACGGCTTAGGAATACAATATTGATCACGATACAATTTATAGTTCAACTGTTTATTTTTCTAAGATTTTTTAATAATTTTCAATAAGTTATACCTAGTTGTATAAAAAATATAATCCTGGTATAGATTTTATTTTATTTTATAAAATAATTAATGTATTTTGTATTTTATTAGTTTGGTCTGGAAAATATTTGACTGCTTAACAATATGTGGAAAGAGAATTACATTGTAGTCAATCTTAGCAAAAGAAAACTTATTTGAAGGTAATAAGCCAGTTTTTTTATTGAGTTTGTTAATTTATTCCTTTACTTATATTTACTTAGATATGGAAACATACACAATTTAACTTATTTTTTTTAAGACACCCAAGAATCTAAGGGCACATTTTAAAACTCATAGTTTGTTAAAAGTGAAGAGTATGAAAATGTTGAATGATATCATTGTTACCATAACTATCTATGCTGCAAGTTAGTAGTTTAGAGTGCTCTTTATGTGAACATTTCCTTATGTGGCAATGCTGTAAATTGGGCCAAATGAGGTAGTGAAGTGCCATTGTTGTTTACTAACATAGAATTACAATAGGTTCGACGATATCTGGGACATACAGCAGTGCCACGACACCAACGGAGCCCCAAATGAACTCTCCTATCATACAGACTGGTCTGTAGTCACCCCTAGACTAGCGTAGAGCCCCTAGAATAGACTCCCCTAGGTCACATTGGTGTCTAGCCTTACACATCAACAAGAGTCGGATTGTCATTTGATTGATTACTGTGCACATTTTCCATTACGGTTGGTAAAAAAGATTTTTGTGGAGTTTTGGGATCTGGAATATGATTCCCTAGCATAAGAAAGTACCAAAAGCATAACAATTGTAGAACACAACTCAACCAAGGTGGTGAACACAAGAGAAAAGCCACACATATAGTTGGATAGTATAGTCTAAACAAGGGAAAAATTCATTATAAAAAACTAGGAACTATATAGTACAAATAATGGTGGTAGGTAACATAATCGACACATCTGCTCAATATGAGGGTAGCGTTATGGTGAATCTTGCTTGAGCTAGTTTCTTGGTACAGATATGTACATTGTTCATTTACCCTCCTCAGGGCCGTTTTAATAAAATGGCCCGGTGGGCCCGGACCTAGGAGCTTCCTCAAGAGGATTAAGGTTTGTTGGGGGTGCAAGGAAGAGAATCTGCCCCAAAGAGAAGCGTTTGGTTGAGGAGGGGCACAATCATATCTTGGGCCCATAGCATATCACACCGGTAATCATTACAATAATTGTTATTTTCTTTTGGGATTGGTTGTTTCTTGTTTTGACAACTGCAGTTCTCTGTGAGGTATTTATTTTGGGATTTTTTAGGTTTGGCTGGGCGGGTACTAATCTTGTTATATTTTCAGCTTATTCTTAGCTGAAGATAGTATCATATTTTATTATGACATGAAATCTCTCTATCTATACTTGGAAAGTGTTCACAATAATCTTTCAAACAATCCAACTTTACAATCGCCAAAAATGAACTTTAAACACAGAAGTACATGTAGTTGTATTGAATGTTGAACTGTTCATCATCATTGTAACAGATAGTGGTAAAAGAAGCGTTGGATTTGTCTTGAAGAAGAAAAACAGCACAAATAATACTGGCCAAATAAGGAATATATCGCAGGTTTATAATCAACTTGATATTATTTTTACGTAAGTAGATTTTGAAACGGTTTTATCGGGTGTTGATAAAGTTTTTGCTTTGGCGCAATTGGAAGTGCATTTTTTTATGAACCTTGGAAATTCATCATTTTGTATGTTAACCAGTTTGTGTAATCGTTTGTGCTTGCATGTATGCCTCTTGGTTGTATTTGCTCAAAGAATGCTTTATTTTGCCTACCCACTCCAGTAAATCTGTAAACTATAGAACTAAAAACATGTGATTCATTTGTGAATAAAGCTGCGTCATTTGCCCTTTGATTCATATTTTCAACGTATATTGTTATGACTTAGATAAAACAAAAAACCTAGTAAAATTTATAAAAGTATAATTGGTTAGCTTAAAAATTATTTGTAATATTGTAACCCACTTTTGAATTACATAGGCCTAGTTTAATGGTTTATTAAATTTTTCAAAAATGTGTTTTTTTTTACATTAAGACTGTTGTTTCCTAAAACCTTTATTAGGCATATTTATTTCATCTTATAAGTTTGCAAACAGCTTTTCCAGAAACTGTTTCCTATGATTAATATCAGAGAATAATTTTTCTTCTTGTACTATTTTTTCATACAAACAACACATCTAACTAGGGTAGAGTGTTTAGCAAAATCGTTCTACACCGATTTAAAAATTGACATAACTTATATTGTATCCTACCACTTACAGGTTCAAAATATGAAAAAAACCTTTAAAAACCCTGTAGTAGAAGTTTGTCCAATAACATGCAAAGAAATGCAATTAGCTAGTTCAACTTCAAAATGTCTACCAATTACTGAAATGCTAGTATAATCCTTTTCCGCAACCTTGCAGCAAACGCAAGGCGGTTTTGAGTGGCTTGCGTAGTAAGTAGTGTGATTGTTCCACAGCCCCTCACAGTCCACGGAGGCAGAAGTTGAATCTCCGCATGAAAAGTCTGTCTCTTGACTCCCCCGAGAGTAGTGAGGTGGTACAGAGGCGCCGCGGGGGCCCCCCACCATCAGCATCGGCCAATGGGGGCCCGACCTCCAGCCACTCGTCATCATCTCGCTTACAATGTAACATAACTATCTACATAACACTACCCTGTCTACATAGCACTAAACCAGCTCACTTGGGGAAGCAGATAAGAAACAATTGTTTGTGAAATGAATATTTAAAATCACCTTTAATACTCTGTTTATTCATTAAACAGTTTCAAACCAAAAGGTTCATTTCCAAGCTGAATACCAAGTTTGTTTAAAGAGGAACCTCTTTCAGTCTCGAAGAGTCGTCACAAACTCATACACATACAATATCAAAGGAATATGAAAGCATTAACAAAAAAATGTCCTTAATTATTTTATTGATTCATATTTTATAAGTGGCCCTTTAACTAAAAAAAACTTATCCCCCCCCTCTACACTATTATAGATGTTTTAGGGGTTTATTATTCAAGTGGACCAGAAGCTAAACAAGTTTCAACTTTTGGAGTAATTCTTTTCTTTGTGTATCTATATGTATTTAATTTTGAATTTTACATTTTTTTTATGTCTATCCAGTAAACTCTCACCGCTTTTTAAGGATATTTTTTATCATAACCATTGTACTTTTATTGTACATTTATGTGTTAGTGATGGAGTGGTAGAAACATGTTCTCAAACTAAAAGTTTTTGTCCTCACTTGAGGTGGTTTTTTGCTGTACAGTAGTCACTACCCAAACACTCCTCATTTTATACAATGCACATAAACTTCTTAATTAACTCACTTTTGGAAAGAAAAGAACAATAGCAAAAGTATGCTCATTTGTATATTTTGCCATTTTTTCACCATGATAGTCATATAATGTACATAATCATTAAGTTTAGTATTTACCTAATTATTTGTATACAATCAGGAGGTAAATTTTATAATTCTGTAGGGAAAATTTTTCAGTGAAAACTCCAATATGATTTTTGAGGTGAGTGTTTATGATTTAACAATCCATTTGTTATTTGATATTTGATAGTTGTAAGTTGTTTTACCATTTAATACTTTTTAGGAAGTTACAGTTTCTTTTATTTGTCTGTTTTATGACAATTTTTGTAAAAGATTCATCGCATAAACTTATAACCAAGATTGACTGTTGAATTTTAACACAGTATTGTTTTATTTTAATTTCAAATTTCCAGGAATCTGCATGGATTCGGCACATTGGGACAACCTATCAACATGCTCTTTGCTATACTTAAATATTGTTGTATATCAGAGGATCAGAGTGAATGATTTTCATGCCCATTTATGTTGTCAAACAAAAGATGTCAACTTTGTCATAAATGGTGTGATACAATTGTGCATTTCAGCATTTTTTGGGGTCTGAGGAGGAGAAAGAGGCAGACAAACTTCTACACAGACAATATTTTTTCAGAATTTTCTTTTAAATGGTCAACTTTCCATTTTGCCAAAATTGATTTCTGCATCCCCGTTGGCAGTGTTTTATAAAATACACAAACAATTGGATATAAGTATTAAAACAAAGAAAGCTAAATTATTATTGTGCTTTCCAGCGTTTTTCTTTGGAACATTTTCATCAAAAGGGAAATCGTTTACAGTGAATAATTTTGTTAATCTAATCAACAAATTTTGGATTTCCAGGTTATCAAACATTGTCATTAAAAAAGTGTTTTAATCAACATATGTTTTAACATTGGTAACAAGTTAACCAACATGAGAGCCTAATGCTTACTTGTTGGTATGATGTGCAGTATCATTGTTTGATGCTGAAAGTGACACATATCCTCAAGATGGCTTCTGCATGGGAAGACGCAGACGCAGACCCATCTTTGTTCATAGCAGTCATTGCTGGTCAAGTACGAAACAAACTAAATTAGAATACAAACACAATCAACTAGACATTCTGAGTGCTTAGTTTCCACATTATATAGTTTTAGTAGGTAAACCTTAGCCTCACACTTTTTGATCATTGATTTTAAATTTTAGACCATCTTGTGGTATAAATCTTCACATATAAAAATTGTTAAATTGCAATAAAGAAATATTGAACTCATAGCTTTATATATTTATTAAAGTAAAAATATTACTAGTAAAGTACAACTCTAAATAGTTTCAAACTGAAAATGTCGTAAAACGATACCCCACCTACCGGTAATCAATATTTTCATCAAATATTATTTCAGAATAGTGATGGATAGTGAAAAATTAGAAAACCCTTTCTAATCCACCTGTATTTTAACATGTTATTACTGAACCTCTAGTAATATCTAAAAACTGCCAACTTAAAAATACTCAGAACCACTAGTAGTCATTTTCAAAAACTTCAGCATCAGTTAATGATTTTTAAAGGAAGTTTTAGATTCGCCGGTGTAAAAACGATGAACTTAACATTATTAGTTTCCAACAATGTACAGACTACTTTTTAAATTCACATGGAAGTGGTTGCAAACATTGCCATAGCTGCCAACAAAATCATATAGATTTTACAATAAAAAAAAAAACACCACTTTCACAATAGTAAAATGTTTAAGTTTAAATATTGATATAGATGTTGAATGCTTTATTTAACAGCTACCAAAATCAAAACCATTGTATAAATTAGTTTTTTTTTTTCAATACCAGTAACTGAAGTAAGGGTGTGAACTTAAAATCTACCTATTCAGAATCAGAATCAGAATCATCATTTATTGTCTTTCAGCATTACATACATGCAATAGACAGTGTCATTTTACATGCAAAATAAATAAAAAATACATAACATACAATTTGTAACAGATAGGCTTATAACTATAATACTGATTTAAAAATTAACAGAATGCTCTTTATAAAATTCTTCTAGGCTGTAAAAAGGATTTTGGATCAGCCAGTCATACAACCTTTTTTTAAACACTTTAAGCTCCAGAAATTTACAGCTATCACTTAACTTATTTATTATTCATAAACAAGGCTTTAAAAAAATACTAAAAACATTAAAAACTATTACTATACAGTATATACAATATTAAATCATCAATATTTCAACCCAAACAAATACAGTAGTAAACAATATTTGTCACTGACACAAAATAGTTCTTCACTGTACAAAAATCATAAATTTAACATTCTTCTTATGTTCCCCATTTAGTAAAATGAGGATATTCATTATTCATTCCTAAGTCAATGTTAGTACTGTTTTGTTTTTGAAATGTAGAACAATTTATCACAACTTCATACTGTGTTGTTTGGAGTACCACTCAATTTTATGTTTGTGTGACTTATGTTTTGATGTGTAGGTGCAGTAGTGAGCAGTCTTCAGCGTGACCATCTTCAAAAAGGATCATTGTTTTCATAGTTGAACATATTTTTATATTAGTTACACCATTCTCATTTATGTCAATATTCTAGATCCTCATGCATATTTTAATGGTTCAGTAATTTGGATTAGAATTTTGCCTTTATATATTTAAGGACTAGTTTTTTGTCTGAATATTTGCCTCTACATTTACTTTGGTTTTTAGTTTGAACTGCTGAAATGTAATCAAATTATAGTTTATTTTGTTTGAAATAACTCAACTAATTGATTGAACTACTATTTAAGCAAAAAAATTAGCTTTGACTCTATAAAGGGTGTTTTGTCAGGTGATTTGGTTTTTGTGACGAGCAAGAAGGGTTTTGAACCTAAAGGTCGATTTTAAACTTGAATACCATTATACCATAGGCTTTAATGAATCATATGTTTGACCCTGGAGTTGTCATAACCACATATGCATTCAATAAACCTATATTTGTAATAATTGTGACGCATTTTGATTAATTTTCAACTTGCAGCTCCGTCCAGTCCAGTCCACAATCGGAGACTGCTGTCAGCTCGTAATATGAGGATGAGCAGTGTAGAGCTACCAGACGACAATGAGAAATCATTATCATCAGCAAGTACATCGCCTTGCCCGTCACCGGTCAGTCAACCAACTTAGCGAATAACATAATAAACATAGAGTTGTGAATGGTAGTTGTGAACTGTGGGTTGAAATGTACAGGAGAACTCCATATATTCACAATAATTAATAATAAAAACATACAATATTTGACCAAAGAAGCAAAAGAAAGGGAATTTTGTGAATTCATTAATTGACAAAGAGGCAAATGCAATACTTTAGGCACAATTTGAATACATGTGACTTTTAAACACATAGAAAAGTCTTTTCATGTCTGAAACCCAATTAGAAGCGTCATTGAGGGATGTGAAGAGCTAGTTTTTCAATGATGTAATGGGGATGTGTTACTATTACATTTTAATCTGACATTGCCATAGCAATAATGGCCAACACTGAACCCAGTAAACTACAAAGGCTGATATTATGGCCATCAAGAATGACATTCAAGCAAACCGTCCAACAACCATCCAAGCAATACCCGACAACAGTTGAAGGCTGCAATATCATATTTCGGCTTTGGGTAAATCAGTGATCTTAGTACAATAGACAATACAGAATCAAAGGCCAAGTGGTTTAAGGTTAAGGCGTTCAAAATTCATGTTTCTGGCTCCATGGACTATATTGTTAAGCAATAATAGGTTTTTACAAACCTCCGTCATATAGTCCAACCATTAATATTGCTCATCAGCTTACATGTTTTGTTGCAAAGACAACATTTTCAAAGCTTGCAACTCGTCCAAAACACAATTAAACATGGACAACACGAACACAAAAAACATTAAAATGGTACGAATACACAACAAACATTATATATATACATGTCGTCCAAATTATTTTCGGTGTAAGCTTTGTAAATTTCATACTCTTCTAGGGTGTCCAGTCTATGAAAGAGTATGAAATATACAAAGCTTACACCGAAAATAATTTGGACGATATAATTTTAAACGACAAACTACAGTACAAGTCACACTTCATATTCAATAGCATTTTAAATCAGAAAAGGAACAAGAAGCCAGGAGTACAAAGTTCAACTGATAACGCCACCACACCTGGCTCGACATAGAAATCTTCCAGTCGGTTTTTGCTCAGAACGGGAACATGTCACCCGTTAGTACGACAGGCCTGTTCGGTTTTTGTAAATATTTTAAATCTATGTTATTGTTCATTTGTGTTACGTGTTTAAACTTCAAGCTACGTATCTACTTCAGCCGAGTTTGTGTTTTTGTAGTCTGACGATGGCATTGTAATGCCAAAACGGCCGTAACGTAGTTACACCACAAGAATGTGAGCTGCAGTGACGAAGGTAAAGCCTATTTTAGTTATTGTACAGCTCAGGGGCTAAAACATGGATTTTAACCTAATATTCAACCATGATTGTACATAAAGACTGGTCTTCAAGCAAGAAAGTTCTAAGCTAAAAAGACAGCTATGTTTACAGCGTGTTATATGTTGAAACAAACTCTTCTCTTACGTTGAGCTGAATTAATTAATATAATGTAATGTTGTTTCAGAAGCCACATCGTCTGTTGCCGACCAACTTGTACGTCGTGTTATACAACTTCAAGTCTCGGCATGCAGATGAACTTGATCTCAAGTAAGTGAAATTAAAGAGATGCTCAAATTAATTTCAAATTAAGTTGGTCAAGAGTATAAATTCTCTGTTTGGCTGACAGTTTTGAAATACCTCAGACTGGGAGTTCACCTGTCCGTTAAGCTAGGTTTACACTAGCATGTAGCACTGTGTTTACCGGCTTCATAGTGACACCAAAAATATACCATGTAAACCCTAAATGATGCGCCATTGTTAGTGGAGTACTGGAGTGGTGCTCCATCAGGAGTGACGCAACTAATATATGTTTGACATAAATAGTGGCGTCAGTAGCAATGATCCACCATCTGTACTGACGCATCACTTCCTGTGGCCCGTGTAAACCACAGCACCAGTGCTATACTCCGTTCAAACAGCCGTGGCACCTGAGGGATTAGGAGGCCCCAAGGGTTTCCATGGGGTCTCCTAATCTGTCAGGTGCCACGGCTGTTTGAACGGAGTATAGTGACGGAGGCTGACGTCTAGCACCTGTGTCACTTGTATTAACTAGCCGGATCTCTGTGTTGATAAGTATATATCTTTGTGAATGTTTATATAACAAATTAAATTCAAAGAAATGAAATGTTTGTTACGGTGTCATGGCAGAAACCGAAGCTGGACAGGTGATGGAGGAACTGATAGTAATGAATTCGATACTGGTCAGAATAAATACACAGTGTTATGAATAAAAGAATCAAAGGGAAAGGTTAAGAATCCGAGTAAGCAGAAGAATGTACCTCAGTTAGAAATGACAGAAAAGGTATAGAAGGTAAAAAGAAGGAAGAGAGATGGAAGCCGGCCAAGATCGACCGATTTCTCAAATTGTTCGAACTTTTTCCCTGCTTATGGGATTACAAAGTCCCTAAATATAAAGATTGAAATGCAAAAGTACGCCATTAATAGTGGCATGGCTTGAACTATCACTTTTGTGTGTAAGCCTCTAGTGGCATATGACACTAAAACTGGTGCAATTTAGTGGCTCCACTGCTACATGCTACTCATGCTAGTGTAAACATAGCTTTTTAGTAATACAGTTAAGGATGGACCCAAACAGAAAGGATAAAATGTTCATAGTATGGAATAATGGCCTATATCATTAAAAACGTAATACAAGAATTTTTACGATAGGTATACCGGTACTGATGTATACCTGTGTATACGGTACTGAAGTGTTTTTTTACTTGATGGTTGGGATAAAAATCTCTAACTTTGTTCAATCAACAACAACAAAATTAGGAGTTTCTTATTTTGGTTTATAATTCAAAAATCAAATTATCTTAGTTAACATTTCATTAAAAAGCTCATTTTTTCAATTTCAAAGTTGTGTATAATTATAGCTTAGGTAAAATTATCAGTTCAGAAGCAGGGAATGTGTATCCATATATCTCCCTAACCCTGTATATTGTTTTAATAATAAGTTTCTCTGAGAGGATTTTTGTATAAAATGTGTTTTCAGGCCATGATATCATGCAAACTGTTTCATAGGCTTTTTGTTCATTGGCACAATCCTGAAATATTATGCTACTCATATCTCCAATCAGATCAACAAGTACTACCTTTTTGACAATCAGAAATGGTATCTGTTTACCCAAAATTGTTATCTGGATATTCACTTATTTTATGTCATTCACCTGTAGAAGAACTTAATAGAGTTGAGTGTAACATGTGTAAGTAGTATCACAATATCGATGGTTATAAGCACAATAGTTGTATGTCCATTTTGGTAAACTTTCGGAAACCGCAAAAACAAAGTTTGTATTATGGGGGAAACTTAAACTAAAACTGTTAAATGTTTGAAATAAATAAATTTTATTGGCCCCATTTATTAAAAATGCATCTACATAAATAGTTTTATCTTTATTCAAGCCACATTTTTACAAATAATGTGTAAATCAAACCATGTTGGACATACTACATGTGTGCACTTCTGAACGCGCAGATTTATGGACATGCTACGAGTGTGCAATACAAAAACTGCCCCTTGATGGTTTTAGTAAGGAATGAAAAATTTAAACAACTGTTATCATGGGCGCCCCCGGCAAAAAAAAATAGAAATAAATTTAATACACATAATGTTCTGTGATCACTTGGGTTTTAAGGAATTTATAAAAGTATGTTCAAAATGGTCATGTCTAAAAAATGTTTTAAATTGATGTTTAAATCAAATAAGTAGTTGACTCACAGATGTAAAAATCTTTTATACTTTGTATACTTTCATACTTTAACAAAACTATTCAGAAAACAAAACATAAACTTTCTTGGCTGTTATCTAGGCTTTATTCAACTATAATTTTTTTTCTTTATAATTGTTTGGTTAACTGTTAATGTTGGCATAAAAAACGACGACTCCCTCAGGTGACCGTCCTTGATGCACAATGTACTATGTTGTTTTGGTTGGTTTTATGTATTACAAAATAGCGTAAAAATATGTTTTAAAACACTATATTTTCAGATTTTTTCCCGGGAAAGGCCTCGAACCCCTGGAGGTTCGTTAGACCTATATATTGCATCCCCCTGTTCCAAATTCTGCGGACGCCCATGACTGTTATTGTCTTACATTGTAGACTACCTACTTTTATTTTTAACATTTTAAAAATAAAAATTACTTGGCCTACCAGCTATTAGAAACTTAAACACAAATAGGCCTAAACGAAACATTAAACAAAGCACGAAATAAATCAGGTAGTGCCTTTTGTAAAATGGTACCTATACAGTACAAACTGTATTTTGTTGAGTCAGTCTTTATGGGGTTTATTCAACAGTGCTGTCCTTTAGACACATTACTTTATTTTCTTATAAAGTTTTAATTTCTTTTATTTTCTCTGGTTTTTTTAGCCTCCTTGGTTTTCTTAAACTCTCTTTATATTACTTCTTTTTCTGGTTTCTTGCCCTATGACATCTCTTCTATTGCGTCTTCCTTCTTTCTTTTTGGTAACTTCAGTGAGAGACTTGTTTCCTTCTTCTTCCTCTATGACGTAAAGTACAATATCTCTTGCCGATGCGGAACTAGGGATTTCAGTGACAAAATGCGTGAATGCTTCTGGGATTACACCCGCTTTAAGTAGGTACATCAAATCCTTTTTCTTGGCGCTGGAAACCGGAATAGGCTCGGTGTACTTTGGACTGGGAAGTTGTTGTTCCCAGACAAATGGCGTCTCGGAATTCATTCGTATATCAAGAGTCAAAAACTCTATTTCCTTGTTAAGTTCGTACTTGTATAGAATTTCAAAGAGGTTTGCTTTTTAAAACCCAAACCACTTTACCTTTAGCCAATTCACGGATTCTTTTTTGGTGTTATGTTCTGTTGTGCACAGATGCTGTATGTCCTAAACCTAACCTAATTGTAAAATAAAATGTGGACATACTATGAGAGTGCACTTGAGATCATCAGATTTTTGGACATACTACAAGATGAAAAACAAATACCAGAGATGGTAGGCCTTGTATTTTCATGCACAATCATTGCAAGTCCAAAGATACTATATCTGTGCTCTAAAGGAGTTTTTCTCTGTTCAGCTGGTACTGCAATCATTGGACATGCTACTAGTGTGCAGGATAAAATTACATCATACCAAAGTGAACACTTTTATTTTGAGAATTTATATTAATTTTTCCTATTGTAATATGGACATACAATATGTGTGATCTGAAAGATGAAGACTACAGCTTTCCAAATATATAAAAATGTCAAAAGTGAAAAAAATTGGACATACAATGTTTGTGCATATAACCATCGATATATTTGTTTTCGCAGAGCCGGTTACAAAGTAACAGTTATAGACACGTCAGACCAGGATTGGTGGAAAGGCAAGTGTCTGGGCAGGATTGGTTACTTTCCCTCCAAATATGTGACCAAGCTGGGTGTAGGTGAGAAGCCACTTCAGGTCACGCACAACCTGCAAGTCTCCGATGGTGACAACGGACTGACGTTACTCAGGGATCAGGTGGGTCGAACAAAACCAAAATAAAAGTTATTGATCTTAGAACTTGCAGCTCGGTAGGTTATTGTTTATAGTGCTAACCTGATGATGAGAATGGTATAAATGATTGTGTAGGTAGCTTTGTAACCAACAAAGGCCTGCTTTTTCTTCAGCAAGAAGCATTTTTTCTGTATTTCAGCCTACTGATAAAGGATCATCAAAAAGCTACTGAATTGCCATATCGAACACTCGAAGACTGAATTTCAATTCCACAAGCCACTAGAGAACTTTTAATTCTGTATCAAATTCAGAGTAAAAGCCTTGGAACTTATGGCTACAGGAATGGCACAACACATAAACTTTCTAAGCTTTAATTTCACATCATCAGCATAGTTCTAATTTGATAGATTTATAATCTATTTTCAATAATTTTTCGCTACTAATAACACATACTATATTGTGATATTTAGAGTAATGCTGTGTCAAATTAGAGAGCTAACATTTCAGCCTAGTAGAGCAGCATGGAGCACTACTGCTGTAGTGTGGTGTAATGGCCAGTTCATATGTAACACTCCGTACATGATGTAGTGTTCCCGAGTGTTCCGTACTGCTCAAAAGATGGCTAACTGCATCCGGTAGAAACCAGGTGGAAACATTTTCCTAAGTTATCTGTGATTGACACAGTTTTACCTTAAAGACTACGATATTAGTTAAGTCTCAAGTGTGACCATGAAAGTCTTCCTTTTAGTGTAACAAATGTGAATACTATTTGACAATCATTAATCCATTAAACATTCCAGATTGTGATTCAAATCGGGGAGGAGCTGGACGGAATGGTGGTGATCAGGAACGGAGACAACCGACAAGGTGTATGTCCACTCAAGTTTCTACAGGAGGTGTGACAGCGGCACTCCTTGGACAAGGTGCAGTTTGAGGGGCCGACGTTCTACCCTCCGAAACAACCCTCCACGTCTCAGTTCAACTCCTCCACCCTGGTGACGCTGCAGTGTCAACTGAGCAAGGAAGATGGCTACATGACAAGAGGATTCCTCACCAGGAGAAAGCTGGCCTCGTACCCACAAGCCAGGCGTGACCAGTACAAGACTGCTCCGGACCTGGTCCGATCCAGCATGTCTTGTGACGGGACACTGTACGGGTCCGAACACGAGGGGAAAGAAAATATCTTGGTAAGGGATAAAGTGAACCAAGCTGACAAAACACCAGATGTTCTGAGGTTTGGGAACAACACTGTAAATGCCGATAATCAGAAAATACTGAGGCGTAAAAGTCTGGCTAGAAATTTGATCCCTATATCATCCTCGACAAGACCCTTGGGCTTACCGTCTTCGTGCTCCCCATCGCACTATCAAAGGAAACTATCCCGATTCCGCTACCGAAACATAAAAAATATCACTTCTCTCTCCCGACCTCTATTGATTGGTTGAATCGATCCGCGACACTCGATGTGTACTTTGATATTTTAACAAGATTGTGATCTAAGACAGGTTGATAATGTTGCCTTTAACGAATAAGTTGTTTACACGTTACTGGATGCTACATTAAAATATATAGCTCAGTTTTATTTTTTATACGACTATTAATTTAATCAAAATATACCTATTGCAGTTCGATACCTTGAGGAATTTACTAAAATAGACTATTTTACTTCAGAGAAAATAACTTTAGCCACTTCCATGAAGTGATTCATCGACGCAGTACATTTTATATATGAATATTCCTGCTAATATTTTAAATATCAATTTGTTTTTAATAACAGAAAAGTTAGCATTTATTTACTATAGTTTTATTGATTACCTGTATAGGATTTAAGTACTTAGATACAGTTAAAATGGCTATCTTTAAACTTTTGAACACATAAGCGTTTGATTCCAACTAACTGGTTGCTTTGTATAATTCAATAATCACAATGTTCAAACAGGAATTGAATACTTTATGTTTTACACCTACTGCATTCCAATAGAACAGCAGGTAAATTGTACATTTGAATTTTTAGGGTAACTTTAAGACAATTTTGGATTAATTAATAGCTTATTCAAACGAAATAGAGATTTATACTACTTCAGAGCTCAATCTTCTCAATAAGTGGTTACGGTATATGATCATAATTATCTAACTGACTTTGCCTATCTCTTATTAAATACTTATAAATAAAAGTATTAGGTATCATACTATTTTTGAAAGAGTGATTTTTTATTACGTCAAGTTAGACTTGAAATTTACAATAATTTTTTGGGTCATAATTACAAATTATTGTCATAATAAAACATCAAATCTCAATAAAACGGAATTTTGTTTTCTTATTCAGTAATCTTACTTTGTGCTGCTAACTTATAACTTAATACTGAAGTAGACACTTAAATAAAATAAAAATAAATAAATTTTGTACTCAAATATAACAGTGGAATGAGCCTGTCAAATTGCTTCTGCTAACTGCTGTATAAGAAATAAACAGTAATTCATAGCTGAACACATTGTCATGTGTCAATGGTTAAGCTCTTTGCTTTCCAACCAAGCTACAACTCAAATAGGTAACTGTAACGTTTACTTCACAATATTTGAAAGCTTGAAATTATAAAAAATCCACAACAACTGCATGTTTTAAAATGTATCACAAAATTCAAAATTTATAACAGAATGTATGAAAAGATTCTCAATTGACAATCAGTTTCCAAAATAAAATACAAAGTTTGAATTGCACTCCAACCAAATTTCAGATAAGTTATAAAATCGCCAAACCATATTCAAAAATGGTACAGATCTTAAATCGGAGAAACTTGAAAGCACGCAATGATGACAACTTAATGTTAAGATTGATTTTTCTCTGTTGTGCAATACTTGTTGCGTGTCTACAAGATTATCACTGACTGTCATCTAGTCAAGACCCTTTAGAGTAGAAGAAGACCACACGGTGACATAGTCTCAGACCAATTTTAAATATTCATTTGCCATAAATATATTTGATTAAAATCATCGAAATATTAGTTTGAAGTATATAACCTAGTAAAGAGAACAGTTTTAATGTTATTGAACTTTTGTTCATCTCTTCAGCACTGTATAATATAACACCACTATTTACAATCATTTTACAGGTGATTATGTTCAGATGTATCATTAGGATTTGAAAGTGTTTTATAATGAAAATATGTAAGAGCAGAATAAAATTTAGTTAGAACCGACTACTCGATACTTTCATAAGAGTTTTCAAAGATTGAAACTGCTTAGTGATTTGAGGTCAGTATCATTGATAATACCTTATCAGAGAACAAAACGTCAATTTTAAAAGGCCAATTCTTTATGCTACCAAAGTGTGTTTGGTAATTTACAGACATTATAAAACTATTTACAATTTTTTTATCTAATGAGAAAGAAATAAGTGAAATTTATTTTATACTATAATTATGTTCATGTTTACAAAAACCAATAAGTAAGATAGAGAGGAAACATTCAATGGTACACTTAAGTGGTGTCTAGAGCAATTCAGTTTAGTAACTTTACTTCAAGAGTAATGCCGCTTTTCCGCTCGAAACTTTTGACTTTAAAACTCGAATAACAACTTATTTGGATGCAAATCAAAATCATAAATTAGACTTGAATTCCAAACAGTAACTGTTCATCTTAACAAAACATTTTCATTTGAACTGAGACTCTATGCTTAAGAACATACATTAGTTGTATTGTCCATACGTATGTACTTTATATTATAATGTTCCTTATTTTGTAAGTTATTGTAGAGGTTATTAGATCATTTATCATCAGAGATTTGCACAGGTTTACTGATTACTCTGTATAAACAGAGACATTTGAAGATGTAATTGTACTGCACTTTCTCTATGTTTTATTGTTACATAAAGTATCTATATTGCTAGAGATATGGTAGTTACTTCACAAGATAAGAATATCTTTGTTCCAAAGTGTGTTTGGTAATTTACATTTTACAGACATTAATTTTGTTTACAGTCGGTATCAGAAAGATGGCAGATCTGTATAAAACTATTTTAATTTTTTATCCAATGAGAAAGAAATAAGTGAAATTTATTTTATACTATAATATGTTCATGTTTACAAAAACCACAGAGAAGTAAGATACAGAGGAAACATTCAATGGTACATTTAAGTATGTCTAGTACCATATGTGTTGGTTTCTAGAGCAAATTATATTCATCCTCTTCTGCTCTCCTTTCACCCCTTCCCCATCACAAACTTGCTACAGCTATCACACGGTAGGAAGACCCTGTGCGCTTCAACAGCTGTACAAATATACTATGAGGCCATCACCGTTCGGGCTCTTCCTAGCTCAGTACTGGTACATTTCTCCCCAACCATACCAGAGCTAAAAGCGCACAGTTGTCCCATAAGCTTGTATCCTCTGAATTTTACTTCCCTGTGCAAAAACTAAAAAATTGGTAGCATTGCCAAAAGAGGGGTTTGGGTTACTACAAATTACAAAATATCATAACCATAAAATAAAGTGTTTCCTTATTTTAATTACACAGTTTTAATACAGTAAACACTTGAAAGTCTGAATGAGATTAAATAAATCTAATACTGTAGTGAAAAAATATTGTTGGCGAGGCCAAAATCCACTTGGACATTATGGCCACAGGAGTAAGAGTAAGAAATAGTATAGAAAATCTGTAGTATCACACGCTACTTCATGTACAGAAAAAATGTGAATAGTGTACTGAACCAAAAACAATAGTAGTAAATTTATCAACATTTCATAATAAATATTGCCGCATTCCTATCTTAGCTGTATAAAATATTTAAAACCACAATCAAATGGCTAACCCTACTAAGGAAAATTTGTAGTAACAGGGTGGGGAATTAATAAGGGTTTACTGTAGTTGGTAAACTTGTTTGTAAACAACTTTACTACATTTTCAATGCTCTTTTTACACATCATCCTAAACTTTCTGAGGTAAACCTCCCTAAGCGTAATTCATACCCCCAACGGTATGCCTCTAAATTCTATGTGTACTGTAATCCCCTTTTAACACAGTATTGGCTATGCTTCTGATACATGGAGTAACAATAATTACCAAAGAACGTTTAAACAAAATTTGACAGTAAATACTACTTCTCAGCAATATAGAAGCTAGTGACATGAAGGACCCAGAGGTTATAAAACCTCAGCTTCTTCTGTCACTAGCATCTCACTACATGGGATCAACAGTGTAATTGTTTAAGAATGAGCTTTAATGTCCCTTTTGTGAGGCAATGAAATGCAAATGGTGCACTCATGTATTCCAATAGTTAAACTTACTAGACTATTGTAATGTAAATTATTTAAATTGATCTATGAAATTGTTACTATTATTTGAAGTATCAAATTATAATTACTGTTAGCAAATGAAAATATGGAATTAAATGTTTCAGAATTATTGTGTGATTAAATCTCCTGTTTTGTTTTTGTTATATTTGTGGTAACTTCACCTGAAGCTTTGCCATAAAGTATGATCGAGCGTTAATAGTCAATGCTTTGAGTACAGAAAATGAAAATTCAGAAGAGCTTATGTTGAAAGACAGTTATTGTCACCACTGATTTTAGAACAGAATGTACTTTCTATATCAGTAATTTTTTATTGAGTATACATTGACAAGCTTACTTATTGGAAGAAACTGTTGTATCAAATTATAGCTCAACTGTTCAAGTGGTTTTTACAGGATGGACGGATGGACAGTAATTTAACTTAGAGTATTGATAAGAATAGTGTGGAATAGTAGTACACTTATTTAAAAATATAGTCTAAATATAAACACAGACAGTTTATACAGGGTGCGGCAAAACAACCAATCTATTTCCTGCAGGGCACTGTTCAGCGACAGGTCGTCTGAGAGTGGTGGGAGTAGGCTCGTTGGAAAGCCTACACAATGCCATTTTTTGTAGTCATAGAGCAATGGTCGCCTGAGCTACGTGCTGTTGTTATGGAGCCCTTTTTAAAAAGTATTGAATTCATTCATGCAACTCATTGGTTACTAACTTTAGAAAAACGGCTTCTGCGTTGAAAATGAAGCTGACAGGCCGTCCAAAGTCAGATCAGACGCCAGACAACTAACATTGAATAGAGTTCGTGCTGCTGTGGAAGACAGTCCTCGTAGGCCCGCCGGACAACAAGCGGCTGCCCGAACATGTCTGACCGCTCAGTTACACAAATTTTGAGGTTAATTTTTACCCCAACAGATTAATTAGAATAATAATCTGTAAAAATTTTGTTGATTATCCATACAGAAAATCACTACGGAACCTCTCTATGTCGACCTAATAGAATAAAAGCACGGAACCGCCACTGAGTTGCAATGACTGATTCATTACTTTAAAAAACAGCTCAAAAACAACCGAACGTAGCTCAGGCGACCACTGTTCTATGACTACAAAAAATGGCATTGTATAGGCTTTCCAACTAGCCCCCACCCTCAAACGAAAACAGATGGAGAAAATAGATCGGTTTTTTTGCCGCACCCTGTACATTAATAGAAATAATTCAACTCAATATTAGCAAGAAAAAAGGAGACATTTACGTATAGCATGTAACTTTTTTTTTGTTTCGTGTTTTAAATCAAACAAAATTACATTTATACAAGATTATTTATTGATCTTAAGGTAAAAATTTACAATTATACACTTTATACATATTTACAGAAAAACAAACCAATTTGTATAGTATCATAGACATAATTGTGGTAGTTTCTACCACTTTTTTTTTACCAACGGGTGGCCGGATATGATATAAAAATTTAAATAATAATAGTAATGTGGACAATTTCTTACTTACACTTGGGATGTACAACAAAAATGTTGGAATAACTATATTGGATAGGCTTAAATAACTGATTTCCAATTCAATCTTCCTGCAAAACATTATTTTTACAATATAGTCACAGGTCTGAAATAAAATCTGGGTTAAAACACTATATCTACAAGTGGTATTTACTTAGGAACAGGATCACACAGTATACAAAATAAAGAATGTGTTCTTGCTGCAGTACAATTTAGAAATAGTTATTCCTTTCCTATCAGTTTCTTTATTGATTCTCTGGATTTGTTGTCATTTTTTTTTTTTTGGTCTGTTATTCTGTATCTGAGTATATTTTGCTCCAATCATTACTGTCCTCTGTTTTGCCTTGTATGTGGAAATGACTCTCATATGCGTGGCTTCGTCTGACACATAAAACTTGAGCGTGCAATAAATGCCATCTTCAGTAGTAATTAAAAATATAGGTACAGTAGAGTCCCGCAAACTCGGCATAATGTGGACTGAAAGGGTGCCGAGTTTGTGAAATGCCGGGTTATCGGAAACTAGTTTTAAAAATAATAACAATAAAATTTTTAAGCTTATTAACAACCTCTTTTATTTATATTTATATTACAAGTTAGCATTAAGTCATCAGATATAGTACAACAAATCATTTGTACGAGCTAAGAATGATTTGACTTGAGCTGGCTTGAGTCCATGTTTAACTCGTACTCAAAAAAAATCACTAACTTTCTGAGCCAGGTGATGGCCGAGTTATCCAGACTGCCGGGTTATCGAGTGCGGGACTCCACTGTACTATAGATTCAAAAGCCAAAATCCAGCCATTTGAATGTTTATTCTCTTCTCATATCCACTTATGCCTGTGTGTTCCTTAGGATAGTAAAAAGATAATAATTGTAGCTGATAAGGAATTTCCCAAATACAAAACTTTGGCATCATTCAGGGAAATTGTTTGCATATCATGATTTAAAAAAAATTACTGGGGGATTTAGAATGAGATTCTCACAATTATATTACACTCACTGGAGACGGAGACTATCATTATGTTGCCGTGATCGTAAGAAATAGGTACTCAAACATGTTGTTGAGATTGTGGGAGATGATCTCTGTGAGAAGATTTTAAGTTTTACAGTTGATTCAAAACAAAGTGAATGATTGTGCTCACCGATTTCCACAGTAGATTGATTTCTTAGTATTTGGATTTGATACGTGAAATTCTAGGCGTTGACCATCACAAGTGTTTTCTAAAAGTCAGTAGTAACAGTCTTGGCATTAATCATCCGCTTGGCGAGGCTGCTCTTGCCAATCCCGAGCTTGGGCATCCCCTTGTTGAGGCCCTCCAGCAGCGTACAAGCCTTACACACAGGCTGACTGGAGACAAACCCACACCTCGTACATGTACCTCTGTCTGGCAGTTTTACTCCCTCTCTCACAGCCAACTTCTCTCCTGCAACATACGGATATGTTGTAAATGTATTTTGTGTAAGGTACACAGAGCCACATTGAAAACCACAGCTTATTTAATTAGAAACTAGGTTAACAGGAACGGTAGGGAAGGAATGAAAAAGATCTTTTACCTGTGACATTGAAAACAGTAGACCCTTACAGCCAATATATCAAGAACTTGGATTAACAGGAATCTGCGGTAACTAGACTTTGGTTGACAAGAACCTGAGGAAACCAAAACTCTTGGCAAGGAGAAAATCGTTCTTACCTGGAACATTGTTAGACTCACTGGGGGTCATCGCCCTTCCACTGGTTTTGATAACCTGACCTTGAGTCATCTTTTAACTTCAAAAAGTGGGATTGAGCAAAATGTTACAAACAATATTTTCCAGTACTATATGGAAACTAAATTTTCAGAGTTATCAACCACCTCCATTATCAAAGTTAACTGCTTTACTATATCAATCAATTACCTACCATACTAAGTTTGAAAGTTTGAGGTTTGAAGTGGCCTGTGTGGATTAACCATTTGAGTATTGTGCAATCTCTCTCCAAGACACTCACATTGTTTTGAGTGCCGATCGTTTGGTAACGAGACGGACGAGGAATGAGAGGATCAGAAAATCACTTCTATAGTATCATATTATTAGTATCAAAAAGCTTGCTACAAATCGCACCAAAGGCGACAGAAGAAGTCTGGCAATTAATTACTATTTGTTAGACAAATGTGGTCAACCAAATCAACTGTTTATATATTTTTGTAGCCTATGTTTTTTTTTTTTTTTTATACAATGATAAGTTAATACCATGGTAATTTTGCAATGTTAGATGGACAATGAAATTATAGTCATGAATGACAGTGCCATTTGAAATGTGTTGGAGGACGAGACTCTCAGTTGATGTGTCAGTTTACACAAATCTGGTTTGTAAAACTCTGAGAGCTGGTTAAAATGTGTGAATTTTTTTGGAGTTTTGTAGTCACCCTGCAAGTAGACGGTCGGACACTAGGTTGTATATCCCAATGAGTCGGTGATGCCAAGGTCCAGGGGGGGGGGGGTTGTACTGTAGCAACAATCAAGGTTTGTTGTCTAATGTTTTAAACAAGATTATATTAACAAGTTCAATTCAATTAAATAGACCTAATATAACATTTATAATAGGCCTTCTACTACCAAGTGTATGCTTTCCTATAACATATTCTGTATGTCCTGTGCACTGTAACTCAAGTAAATAATTTACTAGTAGCCTACTTTAATAGTGTGCTTAACTAGCCAACATATTTCGTAAGAATATTTTTTACTTAGTTCCTAAACTTACCAGAATGTATAATGTCCATTATAGCGGAAGGCCGAATCATTTCTAAATCCTTTAGGAACGCTCTGGCATGTCCCCTATAGGCGTTAGGCGCAAACACACACTCTGTTGAGAAGTACACTAGCTTCTTGAAGTAGGCGTACATTACTATTTCCTTTTCATAAGTGTACTTCAATGGTTTCACCCTAGGGATAGCTCCTTCACTTGCCTGAAATGGTTCATCATTACATTCAGGCAAGGAAAAATTATGAACTTGAAAATATGAAACCATTCACTAAACTATTGACTTGGATACTGCAAGTAGACATCTCATTTACGTGAACCAGATGTACCATGGAATTTGGATACTGCAGGAGTAAACATTTCATTTACTTGAACAAAGAGAAATAACTCACCTAAAAGTAACTTCTCTGTGATGTCAGAACTAGGATGATTAATTGATTAAACATTAAAGAGAGGACACGCCAGAGTTTTCACAGTCCATCTAAACCCAAGTGTTAAAGTACTTCATAATGTCATGTAGGGTATGTAAACTGAAGCCCTGGGCTACTTCTACTCTAACTCTAATGTATGAGTAGACTACTGCGTAATAATGTTTAGACAATAGCATAGCCTATGTAGTGTATATAAGTTAAACCAAAGCCAAAGGCTACTGTTATTCTATTGTATGAGCACACTATTCTAATATTCATATTCTAAACTTAATGAAATAAACTTAGTTTCAAATAACTTCTTTTTAACAAAACACAGATTTACACAGATTTAAACACGGATTTAAAAAACTGAATGGGTGGAAAAACTTATTTGGGACAGTTCCAAAAATAATTTATGACTTATTTTTTTACTTATTGTTATTTTTTTCCGTTTATAGAATTTGTTTTTGACGTAGAAAGAAGACTTTGAAGGAAGAAGGCTCACATAATATGGACCTCACTGACATCCCACTCATAATCGACAAGGAACTGGCGATCGACCTGCCATAAAATGGCTAGAAACTTAAATTACGAACCTTGCAAATGGCGCTATTAAACAGTGTGGAGACCAAGTTTTATAGCGTTATATTATATATAATATTACAGATTATCCATGGTGTAACTCTCATGTTTATACGTTAGGATACATTGTTTCAATAAATAATAAGCAACTTAAGTTTATTGTTTAACATCAAATTAGGACAAACAGATCTTTAAGTGGATCAAGACCGTACTGGGGATGTGCGACCGGCGCTACAATTCCGGAAGTTATATTTATTATACATATGGAAAAAGTTATTTTGCTCGAAAAAAGATACCCAGTTGCAACGAACAGTGTATTATGCATTGTTTTCAATTAAAACCAAAAAAAGTAGTTGAAAGCAGATTCAATTCAATTCATTCAATTATTCATTCATCGAACAAGGACAGTAATTGTCCCGAAAACGTTTTTTCACCCTTATACTATTCTGGTATGTGTTAATTATTTGCTTTAGCCAAGCATAAATTCTTATGAAGATGACTAGCAATAAAAGTAAACAATAATCAATGCAGCCACAAGTAATTACTTATGATACAATGGGAGTATGGATCTTAGATTAATAACTGTCGTTTTATGAGTTATTGTTTCGAATACGTTGCTGAAAACTGGCAAATTTCGGTGTTACAACTGCAGCAATGCAAAAATCATTCAATAGTGCAATGGTTCAACATTTATTTTTTTCTAGTATTTTGTTTCTTGTGCTGTACATCAGAGTAGGATACAGTAGAGACCATAATACTCCGTATACTTTACATAACGATGATCAAATGATGGATGCAGGATACAGTCATACCCAAAATTATGCTCCAAGTCATCAGACACCCGTACATGGCAACAATCGAATGATGAATAGAGGTTACGAATCTAACCGCATTCACCCTTTGGATCATGGTATACCTGTGAAAAGCTCCGATCAAACTATGTCCACAGGATATAACCAAAATGATATACTAGTCCAACAAGAGACAAATGAACAGATTCCAGTACAAGTCTACGATCAAACAATGGAGATGGGGTATGATCAAGATCAACTTCAAAATGGAAATCAGCAAACCAAAGACATGCGCCAGAAGTTAGATAGTATAACTGACCAACTGAATAAAGACCTTGCACAAATGAAAACTAATGTGAGCAAAATGTGTGACAACTATTTACAGCAAGGAAAGATTGCTGCATATGTACTTTGTAGTATCTACAGCAAAAGCTTAGGATTGGTAGGTGCCATTGCACAAAAAATTTTGTAAAAAAAAATATAGAATCATAAGTTTAAAATAAAGAAACTGTTTAACACATATTTTCATTCCTAGTAGCCTAAAACAGATGAACTAAAAGAGTGATATTATTTTAATAAGTTAGTAACTAATTACAATAATAAGTTACTAACTTATTTAAATAACTTACTAGCTTATTTAAATAATATGTACTCTAATCAGCTTACATAGCTGATTTGAATTTATTATCAAATATAAATCTTCAAACACTAAAATTGATTATTTCTCTCATTTAAATGTTGAATTTCTCTTAAGCAAGGCATTAATTACAAATAGTTAAATTTGGTTAGAAATTGCATTAGAATAATTAATTATGCTTTTAAGACCAGTATTTATCTAGGACTATCAAGATAATTTAGGATGTTGAAACCATTGCACTCATTAAGTGAGTTTTTGACTCCAAGATGTGTTTGTGGGGAAAAACTAACAACTAACACTAGTACTAGGGAACTATCTAGACTATTAGTTGTAACAGTTGAATAAAATATTGTAAACATGTCAGGATTATTGTGGGTTTGTAGCAGCCGCAAAATAGCTTTGGTGTGTACTACTTTCTACATACTGCACCAACTCATCAACCTTGGCTTGACTTAAAAAGCTACACAGAAAGCTAAATAACCTCTTAACCGCGACACACGTGTTATTCCGTGATAGTATTCTGTAGACGCTATTGCGACGCACGGAATATCACGTGCAACACCCTTGTGGCGTTAACCACGAAGCCCGAGTTTAGACGGTTTTGACGTATTCAGCATTGACATTGACCCTGAGAGTTGACAGACCATTTGGTGCTGCACTCAAGTGTATCTTTCTGGAACTACGTCTACGCCACGTGTTCTGCAGTATCAAAGGGCGCGTTTGATAGTTGTTTTTGTTGCGTTGAGATGATAACTTTGTATCATTGTTTGTACGTTGATAATATAGTAATTGGTATAGTAGTTCTGATTTGCTTATGTATTTGCGTTTAAACTAAAGCAATACTTGTGGTACAGTAAGATGGGAACGAATTGGTATGCCTGAATTGCAGAATGAGTTACAAGCTGGCAAACAGGAGGTTGTCAATATTGGAACAATCAAGGTTGTAAGGCAGATAAAAGAGAAGTGATGATGATCACATCACAACATGATGATAAAGTAGTTGACTCCAGAAAAGTGAACTACGTTACAAAAGAAAGGGTATTGAAGCCAAAATGTGTCCAAGAATATATCTATAGCATGGGCTCTGTAGACAGCACAGATATGATGCCAAGCAATGTTACATGTGTTAGGCGTGTAACAACCACGCACGGGAAGGGTAGTAACTCAAAGATCGAATGCCGAGAATAATTCAAAACGATAGCTACTGGACCTTGACTCTCCAGTACAATCTGTCCCAGGTTTCAGCGGAAAATGAAAACCTAAGTATCTTGTTGGAGGAAGTAAAAACACATTTTGATGGGTTCTTCAAGGGGTTTTTGGAAAAAAATTTAAGCATTCATTCACCTGCTCCGGAATTAGAAAACAGTTTTAGATATGAGTATGCCACCCTTCACAAAATGATTTTTGAGTATGTGGGAAGAGTGGATGATTTGTTGAGTTTGCTACCCAGGGAAAGGATTAAAAGGGGGTTAAAGGGGGGGATGGATGCAGGGGGGCATATATTAAAGTTTTTATTTGGTACTATGGACAGTTCAGATTTGGAAACAATCGATGGTAAATTAACTTCAATGAAGGATGTGGTTAATGAAATGTATCATGATGAACAAGCCCAAGTAACATTTATGAGTAATATGCAAAACGAAATTACGGTAAACTCACGTGCAATAAATCAGATTTTGTCAACTCTTAAGTCGTATCACACAGTGATACACCAGACTCTTGCTAGGGATTACCGGAGGGAGATGATGGCATTGTCAAAATTGAAAACTCTTTTTAGCTACCTTAAACTAAACGCAGCTTTATCAGATACAAAGGACACGGTGACGAGTGCGATTCAGAGAATGAGCAGGTTTCACGAAGCTATAGAAGTGTTGTCCTTGGGAAGATTAAGTAGCAGTTTACTTTCTCCTCACAAATTTCTTGAAATTTTGACGTCAATCGAAAGGACTGTTCCAGCCCCCAGTAAATTGTTTGCTTCGGTAAGCATAGATAATTTACATAAATTTTACAGTGCAGCTCGGGTCAGGTCGTACGCCACCAGTAACAGTTTAGTGGTAGTTGTCAAATTGCCCTTAAGGCAGAGTGATAATCTTTTCCAAATTTTTGACGTTGTAGTATTTCCAGTGTATGATAAGGCGGTAAAAAAATATGGTCAATAACTTCCTGACCATCACATTCTCCCCAACTCAGACGGAGGCCTGCCCTCAGGCCTTCAATTAAACTTCCACATTACCAACATACAATGGCAACAGTTGATGCGTATGTCATATTGTAGTGGAGTAATATGAGAACAGCTGACTTACCCCACACCTGACACCAATGTAACAACCACGCACGGGAAGGGTAGTAACTCAAAGATCGAATGCCGAGAATAATTCAAAACTCAATTTATTATGTTAAATGAACAAAATTATTTGCAATGAAAAAAACAACAATGAATGTAAATACTATCAATTGAAAATATAGCCTAAGCAAAAGTGATTTACAAAACGGACATGCCCACCCCCACGGACACCCGTGGGGGAGGGAAAGATAGCGCGTAACCGCGGCTCACGGACTCTTCGAACCCTGACTCCCGACCCTGACTGACCACCCCAGGTTCGGAGGTCCCACACGTCACACAGAATGATGACACCTCATGTCAGCAAAACAATCAGGCCATGCATTCCATGCCACAATCCAAACAACCGAACGTGATGTAGCAATCGATGTACCCAATACTTTGTGACACTCAACAAAACCCCAAATAAATTGCAAGACAATGCTGACTAGCGGAGTTGCGACACGATTGCCCATCTTACCAATGTCGATGTCAAATACTGGGCTTTGGGATGTTATCCATAATAACAATAAAAAAATATGGTCAATAACTTCCTGACCGTCACAGGCGCACCTAAAAGTGGTTTACATTTTTTTTATACCACTTATTTTTAAATTTTTTTTTAACATTAAGTGCCAAGAAACCAACGCAGGCAGAATTTCATTTAGAGTCGATAACTTTTAGAGGAAAACATAGCAGCTCAGACCTACAGTCAAAAAAGCGGTGGTCGTCCTTCCCCCGGTGATACATCACCGATAGACACAGATAGATTGACACAGTGTCATTTTCCATCATGTATTCCTTCAACGGAAAAAAGAGTATATTCACGTCAATGCTATGTTTGCCGTCACAATACGTGACGTGAACCGGCCAGACGGGAGTCACGGTATCAGTGCCAGGACTGCGCGGTATCAGGGCCAGGACTGCGCGGTTCCTTGTGTGGCGGTAGTGCCGTACTTTAGGAAGTATCATACCCTGAAGAAATACTAAAAAGTGAAAACTCTGTACATAGTGTACAGTAGGCAATACACATATTTTTTTTTAATATTTACTTCTCGAAACATCCACTCATGTGACCAGACAACTAAATAAAACCCGTGAGTAAATAGGATCAATAAAAATTTAATTATTTGTTAGTTAATTATTGTTAATAAAAAAAAATAAAAAAATAATTAATTACTAGCTGCTGAACCTGTGCTTCGCAACAAAAAGATGTACTATTTCGCCTAACCCAAAGGGTGTGCTCTACCTGTCCGCCGTGCGCTAATGCAAGGGTTTAGGATCTTTGTCATTGTCGGCTTGGTTCTTCACCGATTGAAAATATATTTATGTGAATTTATTCATTTCTAATTTTTGTAGGCTTGTATCGTTTAAAATGTTTGGTAATAGTCAAATTTTAAGTGGGAATTCTGGTAAATACCTCCAATTAAGGGTTTTTATCTAAAGCAATACACATACAAATGAATTTTTGGAACAAAATTAAAACAATAGAGTCATAAATTTGAATCTAAGGAGTTAGGAACCTTCTTCAGATGAAAAACATACAGTAAACTCCCTCTTATCCGGACATCTTTTTACCGGACATCAGTTTAACCGGACTACACTCGGCGGAAATGACATCTCTTTAACCGGACAATTTGTATCAGCACATTGGTTTAACTGGACTAGATCGGCAGGAAGTGGGCAGTACTGAACCGACTGTTCTCGTGGGAAAGATTTGAGACTAGTGATCACGTGTCTAAGTACAATGCTCTCCTAAATTTAAGTCGAATATCACAGTTAACTGGCCGTTTTAACCAGTTTTTGTGGACGTCGGTTTAACCGGAGAACCCGTTATCCGGAATGGCCTCGATCCCGAGGAGTCCGGATAAGAGGGAGTCTACTGTAGCTACTGAGGCCCGAGTTGAGATTTCTGAGCTGAGGTAGAGCACACCAATAATTCGGAATTTCGATGCACCGCACACCCCTAATCCTAACCAAAGTCAATGATGAACTCACAGTTATAATGGCCGTGCACCTCTGGAGCCGAGCGATGTCTCCTCTCAGAATGTTCATGAGGACAGTCTCTGCCAGGTCATCAGCGTTGTGACCAGTGGCTACTGAGTCCACACCTAACAGAGCAGCCCCACGGTCTAGTGCCTGGCGTCTGAACACACCACAGAACGTGCAATTGTTCTTACGACCAATCTGGAAAATTTAGAACCAACATTAAAATTTTATGGTGAGGAAATGGTTATGCTGGTAATCAAGTCGGCAGGTAGGTCAGAGTTGAGATTGGGAAGACTGGTGAGAAAGCAACGGATCAGGAAATCTGGAAACAATGTGAACACAACCAACACAAGTAGCCTACGACTTTGGTTAAGGAAAATAGATATAAGCATATATTATAAGTAAAACAGGTATTCTTCTTGGGTAGGTCATCAAAGTCTAAAATTAAATATTAAAATAAATGAAAAAGATTACGGTACAAAAAAAATTTAAATTTTTTTAGTAAACTTGATACAATTTACAATATTAATCCAGACACCAAAATGACATTACTATTGTTCAATGAATTCCCTACATAGAAAAATCACAAGTTGTTTACTTTTATATAAGTAATAACATAGAAAAAAATTTGTTTTAGCTTACCGCAGCTGTTTTTGGGAGATGTCTGGTTTCCATTGCAAAACAACATTGTTTGTTATTCGCAAAAATTAATTAGTAAATAGGCAAAAGGATAATAATCATGCGTATGGAAACACTGTCTGTTAGCCCCACAATGGAGGCTAAGACGCCAAAATATAAAATAGACATGCTACTCTTTATCATAGGCCTACATTTTCTCACCTGAGCAACTATTTTATCCATCGTCCAACCGTACAGCTCTTCATAAGACAGAATCTTCAATGGCATCTCATAGTCGTCTCTATTTTGTTTTACTGTGTCCAAGCTGTCATCTCTATAACCTAAATAATAAAAAGTTTATTTTACCTTTTTGGTATGGAAGAATTCTACAATTTAAAAAATATTGCAGTTATCTAGAAGTTTAGTTTTAAAAAGCTGAAAAGTCCAGCGTGCATTTCACATCCATGACTAATACAAATTTAAGGACAATTTCATGATTTTTCTATTCTCGCAAACATCTTGACACAATAAGTCTCAAAAATCTTTTGGTGGAGGGAAAAGATGGAACTCGAGTTGGTGGAAGGAACCATTGACTATTGAATAGTCAATGGTTGAACCATAGACAAAAAGAATTGAAATATAGACTGACAGCAGTGCTGCGGTTACCATAGGTTCTGGCGCACACCGCTGGGAGCACCATGAAGTTACGTAGCGTGTACACCGTACTTCATGGTGCTCACAACAGTGTGCGCCAGAACCTATGGTAACCGCAGCACAGCTGACGGTCTATATTTAATTATCATTGTCTGGTTGTATGGTTAAACCATAGATAAAACATACTCCCTTAGTAGATTTCTCATCCTTATGGAACAGCTGAAGACAATTTTATTGTTAGTTCATGTACGGTTTATGTAGAGGTCGTGTTTTGTTTACAATTTGTTTCCCGTTATTACAGCCATTTAAAACCTCGTTTAACCAAATAATACGATCTAATCATAAACAATAACTTGTCCCCTAGTTATATAACCAAACAGTAAAGCACAAATCAAGAAATTAACTCTAAAATAATGGAAACAAAGTTTCATCGACACTTGCGCCTTTGTGTCACGTACATGAACTAGACACGAAAAATGTGCTTCAAAATTTACAATGGGATGAGAAGTCTACTTGTGTTGGTTAGTCTATGGTTAAACCTAATCTATATATATAAAAGGCAAAGCCCTCACTGACTGACTGACTGACTGACTGACTGACTGACTGACTCACTCACTCATCACTAATTCTCCCACTTCCCACTTACCTAAGAGGCTGAAATTTGGTACACTGATTCTTTAGGCATTAAATAGGAAAACTAAGTGGTTTTTATTCTGATCGGACTCTCGGGCTCCGCCCCAGTGGCTCTGGAGTTTCCCATGGTAACCTAATGAGTACTCATATTTAAATGGAATTAATGAATCATAACAGCTGTTTCAATTAAACAAGTTGGTTGTGTTCTATTATGTTCAATAGCATTAAAGTTACAAGGATTACCAACAGAGTGCAGCACTATTATTTTTTTAATATTTGAAAACAGCTAATTTGAAACCAAAAGGTGAGTGAGCGTAGCGAACGAGCTAACCTGAAAGCAATTGAGCGCAGCGAACGAGCTCCAACCGTAAAGGTGAGTGAGCGTAGCGAACGAACTGCAACAAGACGTGTGAGCGCAGCGAACGAGCTCCAACCTAAAGGTGAGTGAGCGTAGCGAACGAACTTCAACCAGGACGTGATTGAGCCATGCGAACGAGCTCACATATGAAGTTAAACGGGGCAAAGCCCGCGGGTACAGCTAGTCTTTTATGAAATTGTGTTGCAAGCAGTTAATTTTAGCCCTTGGTCTGTAAATACATTTTTTCTCTTGTAGCCTACTTTGTTTAACAGATGTTATTAGTTAACACATGTTATATTCATTATTAATTTTATAAACAGTTTCAATAATTCAATACACACATTTTTGTTTACATCAGTGTTTTTCATTTTAATAAATGTATATTAATATGCATTTTTTTTATCAAATAATTATTTAAAGAAGTTCTTTCACCACAAAACAAACGTTCAGGGTCCTTCGAGCCATTGGATTTATTTCACTACAGTTCATTCATTACAGTTCATCAAAGTTTTAAGTTTTAATTTTTATTTAAAATTTAACAAACAATTATGGCAGAAATTAGGCTTCTCCAAAACAAGAGAGCTTCAATCAAAGGCTCTCTCTCGAAAATGAAGTGTCTATCCTGGAAAAATTGGATTCTGGACATATCAACTACAACAAGAGATGGAGGCTCATTCAACAAATGAAAAACTCATTTTGGACAAGATGGCAAAAGGAGTATCTTCCTTCATACTCTTCAACAGAGGCAGAAATGGAAATTCCAAGACAGTAATATCAAAGAAAGTGAGATTTTTTTAGTCAAAGAAGACAATATGCCACCAATGAAGTAGGCTAGGCTACACCATGGGGTGAATACTGAATAGTGAAAACATTTTCTGGACTTGACAATATTGTAAGAGTTGTAGAAGTGAAAACTCAAAATGGAATAGGCTAATAAAAAGACCAATCAACAAGTTGTTAAAAGTTCCCACCTAATCACTTTTTTGCAGGGGCGTTATGTTAAAAGCAGTTAATTTTATCCCTTGATCTGTAATAGTATATTACGTTACTAGTCCTGAAAATAGGTGTTTACCGGACGAGTGTGGTTGTTTCCTTGTTCAAAAGTAGGCCTAAGTACATTTCCACACCACCATACCAGAGCTGAAGGGAACGGTTATGGTTGTCCCATAAGCTTGCACCCTTTGTATCGTACTTCTCTGTGGTTCCTCATAGGCCTATGAAGTAGCCTAGTTGAGACAAAACAGACTGTAAGTCTTAAATAAACTTAACTTAAGGCTTACCTGTGATTCCTTCATCCACAGACAACAACACCAAGTTAAGACCATATTGGTGTTTTTCGTTTAATGTTTTCAACACGTAAGCCAAAACAGTGGAATCCTTGCCGCCAGAAGCTGCGATGGCAACAGTTTGACCCTTTTGGAAAAGCTTTCCCTCCACAATAGTGTGATGTATTTCAGTTTCAAAAGCCCAGAAGAAACACTCCTTGCACATAGCATCACCAGTCTTGGGCCTCTGTAAGTTAAGTTACATACAGTATTTTTAAAGAACTTTAGTTTAGGTTTAAGACTGATTTTTCCACAGTAATTTATCTTAGCGATAGGAACTTTCGTATTATGCGGAGGCCACCCTTATACAGAGCGCTGCGGCGGTTATGTTAGGTTGGGTTAGCGTACCGTAAATTTGTTTGTAGAACTTTCCTCGTTTTGTTATGAATCAAACGATACCAGATGAGTCATACTTTCGTCCACCAAATCCCCTCCAAGTAGGTTAGGGTCAGGATGTTGACCGGAGCACGTGCATCACCTGTCACCGCGCCTGTATCTGGGTCAGTGTCCTGAGTGATGACTCATCATCTGGTATTGTTTGATTCACAACAAAACGAGGAAAGTCCTACAAACATGTTTATAATAACCCAACCTAACATAGCCACCAGAGCCTAAGTATACCTACTTGGCGGAGTACATGTGGCAGCTAGCGACGGCGACGCATTCAACTCAATCCTCGCCGACATCGCTGCCTTCTGGGAGGCAGAACTCAAAGGCCGCTAATTGTAATGATGTCAAGTTTGGACAGTAAGTTAATTAAAGTAGGCATGTTCTTTTCAATTAAGTTCCGTTATTTTTGGTCTCCAGTAAAAAAATCCTTCTAAAATAAGTGGCCTCTGTATAGGTCTAATACGGAAGTAACTTAGGCTACCTAAGTTAACTTAGCGATATTTACAACTGAGCAATCAATTGGACTTATTTTATAAGGAATTATTATAAATAACATAAAAGTCAATATTGCCGGCAATCTACTTCTCTTCCCCCATCTTGAAAGTGTTTTAAGGAGGGATATCAAAGTTTTGTTTACATCTTGCCAAAACTTTAACAGCCAACTCCATCGTATTTTGGGCCTATCGATTGTTAGGCGATTGTTTGGTACCAGTACCTGATTGATTGATTGAATCGATAGGCCTACTTTAACGTTCAATGGATTCAATTTAGTAAAAAGTATTTTGGAACATTTTAGGCTGTAGGCCTAGACTTGTGTGAACCTGGCAATAACTCCAGCCATAAGTAGTGCGCGCGGCCAAAAAAATTTATTGCTGGCCGTTTTGCGGCAAAATACGTCCGCGAGCAATATTACCGATGATGCCAACAGATAGAGGACACTTTAACGGACACGACAGTATCAATATCATGTACCTGGGGGATAAGTTAAGGGGGGTAAAACCAGCAATAAGTTGTGCGCGCGCCCGAAAAAATCTATTGCTGGCCGTATTGCGGAGAAATACGTCCGCGAGCAATATTACCGATGATGCCAACAGATAGAGGACACTTTAACGGACACGACAGTATCAATATCATGTACCTGGGGGATAAGTTTAGGGGGGTATAACCAGCAATAAGTAGTGCGCGCGCCCGATAAAATCTATTTCCGGCCGTATTGCGGAAAAATACGTCCGCGAGCAATATTACCGATGATGCCAACAGATAGAGGACACTTTAACGGACACGACAGTATCAACATCATGTACCTGGGGGATAAGTTTAGGGGGGTATAACCAGCAATAAGTAGTGCGCGCGCCGGATAAAATCTATTGCTGGCCGTATTGCGGAAAAATACGTCCGCGAGCAATATTACCGATGATGCCAACAGATAGAGGACACTTTAACGGACACGACAGTATCAATATCATGTACCTGGGGGATAAGTTTAGGGGGGTATAACCAGCAATAAGTAGTGCGCGCGCCCGATAAAATCTATTTCCGGCCGTATTGCGGAAAAATACGTCCGCGAGCAATATTACCGATTATGCCAACAGATAGAGGACACTTTAACGGACACGACAGTATCAACATCATGTACCTGGGGGATAAGTTTAGGCATCATCGGTAATATTGCTCGCGGACGTATTTTTCCGCAATACGGCCTGCAATAGATTTTTTCCGGCGCGCGCACTACTTATTGCTGGTTATACCCCCCTAAACTTATCCCCCAGGTACATGATGTTGATACTGTCGTGTCCGTTAAAGTGTCCTCTATCTGTTGGCATCATCGGTAATATTGCTCGCGGACGTATTTTTCCGCAATACGGCCGGCAATAGATTTTATCGGGCGCGCGCACTACTTATTGCTGGTTATACCCCCCTAAACTTATCCCCCAGGTACATGATGTTGATACGTCGTGTCCGTTAAAGTGTCCTCTATCTGTTGGCATCATCGGTAATATTGCTCGCGGACGTATTTCTCCGCAATACGGCCAGCAATAGATTTTTTCGGGCGCGCGCGCAACTTATTGCTGGTTTAACCCCTTTAACTTATCCCCCAGGTACATGATATTGATACTGTCGTGTCCGTTAAAGTGTCCTCTATCTGTTGGCATCATCGGTAATATTGCTCGCGGACGTATTTTTCCGCAATACGGCCGGCAATAGATTTTATCGGGCGCGCGCACTACTTATTGCTGGTTATACCCCCCTAAACTTATCCCCCAGGTACATGATGTTGATACTGTCGTGTCCGTTAAAGTGTCCTCTATCTGTTGGCATCATCGGTAATATTGCTCGCGGACGTATTTTGCCGCAAAACGGCCAGCAATAAATTTTTTTGGCCGCGCGCACTACTTATGGCTGGAGTTATTGCCAGGTTCACACCAATTAGGTCTAGTCTAAAAGTTAATAAGCTCAAGAATACAGTTTATACAGAACATAAGTTAAGTTTGAACATTTCTGAGCAGCTTGTAGGTCTATAAATTTGTAGGTTTAAAGGCGAGTACTATAACCACTCAGCTACCCAGAAAACCAACACCTTTGACAAGGTTTCTAGGTTAAAGTTATAGACATTTACCAAAGTTATACCATAGAATAAATAAACACCATATTTATATTACTTCATCTATGGTTATACCAAGACTGGATTGTATTAAATATATAAGATTGATATGCATTTATTAACAAACCTTTAAAATCGCATTTTTACCACACTTTGTGCTGCAAGGAACAGGCATGGTTCTTCCTGATTTGTTGACAATGTGATCACTCACTTTTCTAAAATGTTTACAACTTATTCCATGCAAATTTATTAAAATTCCATAACGACAGACTTAAAGTACAACAACGCTTGTCCTTCACTTTATTTCATAAGGCACAAGTTTCGAATTAACAGCTAACTTATCCACAAAACAAAACACATTATATGGACAATGGCATGGCTTATAGGTTATGCTTATGACGCTGACGCAAGCTTTTTCAGAGCAGACATCACTTTCAAACTCCTCGGTCTGTAGACAGACCAGTAGGGAATTCAGCAAGACAGACACATTGGAAAATGTTAAAACCATTCTCTTAAACAAAATTCCTATGATACCGAAACTTCAATAAATTACACCATTAGATTGAAATCTGTTAACTCACTAGTAAGTACAGTAGTGTAAAAGCTTATTTCTAATACCGTATTGAAGGGGAAGTTAAACATAAACCGGTACCGTAACAGGAATCTATGTCTATCAATCAATTACTAATAACATGTTCGATTTCGTTTTTCTTCTTGAAAATGAATTAACATTACTTACTTACTTTCCGTGTCCGGAAATCAGACTTCAGTTTTCTAAAAATTAGCTACCGATATGATATGGCTTTGTCATTCGCTTGTAAAAGATCATCTAATGAATGTGCAAGACTGGTCTAGGCATGGACAGATCAGCAGATGGCCAGGATCCTGAACAGCACCACACGCACACAAGATGTTTTCTTCGTCCGGTAAGAGACCCCATTTCTGCATGTTTATCTTGAATTTTGGTACCTCGACCCTAATTCGATTTAGGGTCTTCGGGTCTTCCACACCGTGTATTGTATGTCTCCAACCAAGAGCCAGTTCCTCCCTGGCTGGTATGGGAGGGTTAGTCAACGTGGCCTCCCACCTTGCCACCCGATTGCTTGAGAGTGGAGTGAACCATCCAGAACTCGTGTCCGTGATAGAAAGCTCTTTCTGGATCGAAGCCGTCGCTCTGCAGGTTGGTGGCCGTGTAATGGGTGAAGAGGGTCCGTCTCTTGCTTAGTCCTTTCTATGTCGGTAGCGACATATAACCATAACGTCGGATTGATGGAGAGGCGATCCCTATGATAGGATAGAGTTTGTGTACTGGGGTTGGTTTCAAACACCCAGTTACAAGCCGAGCCATGTCATTGGCTGCAATGTCAACCTTTTTTGCATGTGACAATGCATTCCATACTGTTTAGCGTACTAGTTGCACCAGTATGGAATGCATCGTCACATGCAAAAAAAGTAATATTGACTGGTCTACTTATCAGAGTGAATCTTAAAAAAATAATAATATTTACTATCCAGCGATTGTAGGGACAAAATTGCCCTTGTGTTCACTCCACAATTCATTATTTAATTTGTACGGATGTGATTTTATGTCTTTCTATCAATTTGACGGACTGATGAATTTTTCTCTCTAGTGGGGCTACTACTGTTTTAGCTCCCAGCTTGCATGCAACGATATACAACATTAACAACAAAGTGCATGAAAGCATTGTCAATCAGGCGATTGTTGACATGTTAACTCTATAGGGTGTTTGCATCAGGTGTCCGCGACCACGTGCGCGTATTCTATATGAATAGGGCTATATATTGTAGCTCCCACCTTCCGTTAACTATCATTAGAAAAATTTACTTTTTGATAAAACTTGGGGTTCGAGTACTTTCAACACTGTAAACTTCCCAAACAGACGAATTTGAAATTAGTGTTTTAACATGAGTTGAACGCAAACTTCAGTGGAACTACTTAATTAAATTGATGTCTTAAAACATAACCTAAATTCACAAATCAAAATCAAAGGCACTAGCCCATTTGTATTCATGTGCAATGTTACATGTCAATTATAGCCTATTCATTACATTCATTCATTTTAGTTATATAATTTTCTTTCTTTGATTGTACCAAAACTTGCCATTCTGCCTATTTAACTAAAACCTCAGAAAATGTATCGTAAATATAAATGATATTATCCTTTAATCACCCTCAGAAACCATCATCAAATTTTTAAATATATGTATATATCCAACAAACGTTATTGTTAATAAAAGCGTGTAACTTTGTAATGTGTAGTCCATAGTTGCAAAAACACTTTTTCCCAGATTATTAATATAGTATAAATTTATCCTAAAACCTCAACAATAAATAATTTTCCAAAAGCCTAAATATAAGTGAAAGTGATGTTACTGTACCTATCAAGAAGACAGCTGGCTACAACAATGAACCAATGAACCTCTTGCGTGAAATTCAAATAATCCTTCTCTTAGACATGGCAGCTTACACACCTTAAATTTATTCAGTGAGGGTATAATCCCTAAATTAAATATTTTAAAAGTAAAAGTGATACAAAAGTAATTAATTAACACTAGCAACAAGAAGAGCAGTAGCCTTTATATACTTTTTTATTTTAATTTTGTCACATCAAGATTTAAAATTAAGTTAACTTGCCTTGCCACTGTGAAGAACAAACCTGGTGAGAACTCTCCATTTTGTGAATATTAGGCCTAGCCTACTTGAAGAAATTTAACTTATCAAAGATATATTTTATTTTCAATCTGATCAAACCAAATAACAATTTAAAAAAATATATCTCTATATCATCAAGAATAAATTCAGAAAAATAATTTGAAAACCTTGATTAACTTAACACCTATTCAATTCATTGTTGGACTATTTACCTACCTATCCAAGCCTAAGTGCAATAAAAATTAATTAACCCCATTTTAGCGCCATTCGTTCAAATTTTTATATATGTATATATATATATATATATATATATATATATATATATATATATATATATACGTCCGTGAACGCGATAACTTGAGTAATTTTTGTCAGATTTTGATGAAATTTGGTTTAGAGGTGTAAAGCGGGATAAACTTGAATGAGTTCGCGAACCAGCACGATCGGACCATGGGAACGGGGCTTTACGGAGGGTTTTATGGGGTAAAAATTGGTTTTTTTCACTTTTGACCCTCAAAACACAAAATTTCCCGATTTCTCTTTAGACCTTTTTAAAGAGCTTAAAAAAACAAATAATTTAGTATATAAAAGTATTTTTGTTCAATTATTAGTAACGAAGAAAATTAAAAAAATTGTAAATTTAAAATTCCCATGTTATTCTTATGGAGAATATTGTCAAATGTTGTAGTTTGCTTGTTTATGGATATATTTTGATCAAACTTGGCAAATTTATTTATTTTTTACTAAGCTATCAATATTTTACTCAAAAACACACTTTATTAGTTTCCTTGCAGCAGCAAACCTAGGTACTCGTTAAACCTACTGTATTGTTATTAAAATATATTTAACTGAAAATCAATTCAGACAAATGGAAATTCGCTTAGTCGGCAGGTTTGCTGCGGCGGGGATATTTAATAATTGGCATATGTTATTGAATACCTATTTATAAATATTTGAAGATATTTTGTGTCAACCGAGTTCCTCTCCCTCAGAATATCTGTGATTGAATTATTGTATTTGTAAACTCATTGTTCTGTTCTACTGAGCTAAATAAACGTTGGCAACCCTGTATTTGTACCCCATTCGTTCATTATTAATAAACTTGCATTTTAAAGGAATCCTTGAGCTTTGTCATTTATCCCCTTATAAATTTTAATAATGCCTAACATAATCCAATAGATACTTAAATAGTAAGGTACAAACCTGAATAGATACTCCTTTTATACTTGACTCGTCCAAATTCCACTACCATTAACAATTTTGTTTAACACTGTGCAGTTGACCAACTGGATAGTGACAGGTATTATTTTCACAACACAGGCTAGAATAATAAGTACTTAGTAGGCTACCATAACGACATACGCATTGTTTTCTTTTACATGATGGTATATTGCCATACTAGATCCACTAGGAAGCAATCAAATGGCAGTAATTTCCTCAGTAGCTCTTTGTTTATTTTATTAGGTTTCACAACGCTAGCTGCTTCTAGACGGATCGTTTGTCATTCACCTCTTTTAAACTTTGATAATTAATTACGCACGTCCACCTCAGTCCAAGCTGTTCTAGTGCGAGAGGTTCATTTCACATAGGAATGCTCTCACTATGATGGGTTCAAGGAATCTGAAAACACTGCTAATATAAGACGAAAGTATGCCACCCTAGAGAGAAAACGCAGTCTCTTCAGGCAGCGATTTGCGATGATAATTTTGGTGACTTCAAATTCCTTACTACAGAAGAAACTAGGCATTACGAATAAATAGCTGAGGAATTGATAGTAATATTTAATTTGTTTAATAGTACCTCGTGGCAATCTTTATATTTATATTGAATCCTGACTATACTTCTTACTACTACTAAGTTAACTATACCTCTTTCAGACCTTTCAATTCCTTCGATTGTTAACAGGAAACTGTGATGAAAATTAATATGTTTATTAGCATTGTAAACGCAGCAATCATTAATACAAGCTAAAAATGTATCTTGGACTAAGAAATGCCTCAAGCCTCAACAACTTTCATTTACTGAGTATAATAACTAACATGTAAAAATGTATCTGGCCATATCTGGTCAAGAAGTGCCAACCTTATAGAACAACATGCTTTTGAATAAGGTAGTGATAGCCATACAGATTGAATCGCAACTAGTCTCGTCCAAAGAACAACCCTGTAATATTACATGTCATTCATTCATCATTAACATTAATTTCTCTATTATTTTGTATATTTTATCTCATAATGTTTGTTAATGCCCCTGATAATGTATTATCAGTTATTTAATATGTTTCTCCTTGTTAATGTGTTATTTTATCAAATTTTGTTCAATGTTATATAATATCCCATCACCCCACAGAAGCATCATTCTATTTTATGTTACAATATAATATTTATGCCAATTCTCTCCATACCTATCCTGTACTCATCAAAAACCAACAATTATCATTTACTTAGAATAATATATAATTGTAAGAAAATTGCAATATAGTAATGACATCTTAAATATAGTATTACTTTTCAAAATTATCCAAAGAAAATCAAAATTACTGTGGCAAGTGTCATTTATGTGAATTAACCAGCTGTACATCATTTCAACAATGGACATGGACTTCCTGAGCTTCTACCATTGCCTCTCCCCAGATCTTGCCAACTCTTCACAGTGTGAACATCATTTTATTGGACATTGTGTTTGATTTAAATTA